CAGGGGGCCATGCCGGCCTCTCCACATCTGGGTGGTGTTTGTTGGGGAGATGACTGGGTCTGGGCAGTGGGAAGCGATTCACCTGTGGGTGAATCGAGCCTGGAGTGGCAAGGCCGCCCTCTTGTTCTTGGCTGGGGGGAGCTCTCCTGAGGCCCCACATGCTGGAGGCGCTTTGTACACAGGATGGGCTTGACATGCGGTCCACGTGGTATCTGTCTGTCCACAAGGTCAGGCTTTTATTGATGCCGTTTCAGTCAAGCCACGATCTACGTGGAGTCACGACCACACCATGGTCACAGCCACGCCACATGGGTCAGTGTTGCAAACTGTACGTTGCCGAGTTCTCATCCCGACAGGGCACACGTTCCACCACAAAGTCAGGTTTAACATCAGGAGAAATAAGACACAGCAGAGGGTAGGAAGCTGCCTGGAGGCCTGGGCTGGGCTGCCAGCCGCAGTGAAGACAGGCCTCCAGGGAGGGTGGAGGGGGAGGAGGGGCTGTGAGTGTCCTTTTCTAGTTGAACTTGGTCTTTATTTTTTTATTTGTTTCTTTCTTTCTTTTTTTTTTTTTGAGACAGAATCTTGCTCTGTCGCCCAGGCTGGAGTGCAGTGGCACAATCTTGGCTCACTGCAACCTCTGCCTCCCGGGTTCAAGCAATTCTCCTGCCTCAGCCTCCCAGGTAGCTGGGACTACAGGTGCACACCGCCATGTCCAGCTCATTTTTGTATTTTTATTAGAGACGAAGTTTCATCATGTTGGTCAGGCTGGTCTCGAACTCCTGACCTCAGGTAATCCACATGTCTTGGCCTCCCAGAGTGCTGGGATTACAGGCGAGAGCCACCATACCTGGCCGATTCAATGTCTTTATTGAAATTGACTTTTTTCTAGTGGCTCAAGCCTGTGATCTCAGCACTTTGGAGGCCAAGGCGGGCAGATCACCTGAGAGCGGGAGTTCAAGACCTGCCTGACCAACGTGGTGAAACCCCGTCTTAAAAAAAAAAAGAAATTGACTTTCTCTTTGGAAGCTGAAAAGTACAATAACTGCGGTGAAAGTTCCTGGACTTTTCTTTAGTTGGAAGTTTTTGATTGCTGGTTCTTTGTTATGGATCTATTTAGATTTTCTGTTTCTTCTTGAGTCAGTTTATTTCAATTTATTTTTTCCTTTGAGACGGTCTTGCTCTGTCACCCAGGCTGGAGTGCAGTGGCACGATTTTGGCTCACTACAACCTCCGCCTTCTGGGTTCAAGCAGTTCTGCCTTAGCCTCCTGAGCAGCTGGGATCAGAGGCGTGTGCCATCACACCTGCCTAGTTTTTTTGTTGTCCTTGTTGTTATTAAACAAAACATCTTTTCCTCCTTCGTAGAGCGCTCTGTGAAAGACAAATGGAGCCTTTTTCTAAGTTGGAGTTAGTTATGCCAAGGGCTCTCTGCACAGGTCTGCCCTCCCCTGCTTCTGAGCTCCGCAGCCCCGGCTCCACAGACACAGCCCTGCCAGGTGTCACCCTGACGCCTGCCACTCTTGTTCAGACTTGACCCCACCTTGACCCTGTGTAACGTCTGAACTAGGGATTTCCTGGCTCCCTGCACCCTCCTAGCAGTGTTCTCAGGCTCTGCCCTCAGGGGTGACTGCGGTGCCCAGTGATGCCTCAGGGAGTCCTGGTCCTTGCCTGGGGCATCCATGGACTCCCTCACCTGGGGCTTCTCCAGGGGGCAGTGGGGTGGGCATCAGCGCTGCCTTATTCCTGGAAGGCTTAAGCCACTTGGGGAGGGAGGTCCAGCCCTGATCCCCCACATGGGGACTTTGCCTGGCGTGGGCGCTTTGCCTGTGACCTCTGAAAGAGCAGCAGGCTTCATCTAGGCCCCTCTGGAGCAGCAGGTGGAGGGTTTGGGGCACCTGGGGGTTTGGGTTAGGGAGAGGTGGTGAGGCAGGGTGGGGGCAGTGCAAGGCCTGAGGGCAGCAGGCTCCTGGAGCGTGATGGGTGAGGGGGTCCAAGGGGTGAGGGTGATGCAGAGCTGTGCACTGGGTGTGGGTGCTGGTGTGTGGTACCGATGGTGCAGGATGGGGCCTGCTCTAAGCGTGGGCTTAATTACCTGCTGGAATTGCTGCCACCGCCCAGTGGGCTGATCCCGGTTAGCGGGCTTGGAGCCTGAGCCTGGGTTGATTGGGACCCCAGGTCTGTGCCTGGATGGCCTGGTCCTGTCCTTCTGCCTCTGTGGCCAAAGTCTGAGAATTCTCCCTGCAGGCTGAGATGCTGGGGCTTCCCTCTTCTCCCAGCCACAGCCTTAGCCTTCGGTGAGTCCTCTCCCCTGCCGTGCTCTCCAGGGGCTCTCCTGAGAGACAGCGAAGCCGTGAGTGGACTGGGGTGCTCTTCCCACCAGGCACTTCGGCCAACGCTGACCTCTACTTCCCAAACCCTCCAGACACCGTGGCCGACACTGACCTCTGCTACCCAAATCCTCCAAACCCTCCAGACATCATGGCCGACGCTGACTTCTGCTCCCCAAATCCTCCAAACCCTCCAGACACCGTGGCTGACGCTGACCTCTGCTCCCTAAATAGTGCCTCATACCGAGAGGAATTGTTTGGTTTTTTTCCTTTTGATCCATGCAGCTTCTGTCACGGCCACATGGGTTGGAGTAGCACGTGGCCACAGCATGGTGGAGTCAGGCGTGGGCTCAGAGCAGGGCCACACTCAGGCCCGTCAGCTGCTCATAGCCTGAAAGGTCAGGGATCTTTTATTTGCAAGCGGCAGAGAACAAATCCAAAGTTTCGTAAGTAATGGGCTTACATAATATTGAAGTCCAAGGGGCTTCAGGCACAGCTGGATCCAGGTGCTCTCATTACATGTCTTTATAATTCTTCCCTGGTCCCTTGGTGCTGGCTTCCTCGTGGTGACCTCATTTTCCGGCAGGTTTTCCTGTGCTCACCCATCCTCCTACCAGTGCCCCAGGCCTGCCTCCTCCTAATTGGCAGCCTCGGTGGGAAGGGGGCGCCTTTTTCCTGGTAGTTCCAGCAGAGGTTCTGGGGCCACCACTCGATGGCAGTGGTTGGCCAGGCCTCAATCCCATGAGCACCTCCGCGCCCGCAGACTGGAAAGGGAATGGTGAAGCTGTGATGGGAGGGAGGGTCTGGCCAGGCTCTGTGGTGCCTGAAACTCCAGCGATGAGGGGGTGTGTCTGGGCTGAAGAGAGCCCCTGGGATGCCCATGCTGGTGGCCAGCCCCCCGGCCCTGCAGGCCAGGGCATCCAGGAAGTATTTCCTTTGTGGGAGTGGGGAGAGGGGGGCGGGGGCAGTGCCCTGGCACCCAGTCAGGGCTGTGGAGCTGCTTCGGGGATGGGAGGAAGGGGATTCTGTGTGTGGGGAACCTCCCCCCACCACCGCAGTCCCCTGGACGTGGGATGGAGGAAGGGCTCGGGTTTGAGTCTGTGGGGCGGGGCCAGGCTGGAGACACAGCAGGGCCCTCGGGCTCTGTGGTGGCCGTGCCGCTGGGTGTGGGAGGCGATGGTGAGTGTGGACAACGGGCGGTGGCCGCTCTGTGGCCGGTCCCTGCCGGCTCCTGATCTGAGCATGGTTGGAATGAGAGGCAGCACCGTTGTCAGGGAAAAGGCAACGTTTCTCTCCCGTTGCCGGGAACGAGGGCTTGTTCCATGAGTGGCCTCCGTTATGGCTGTGACTAAGGACCCGGATGTCAGACACGTCCCCTGCACATCCCAGGACACATGTGAGAGGTGTAAAGGAGATGAAGCATTTGCTTCCTGAGAAGTGGGTTTCTCTCTCGTGCGCTTCCGTGACTTCAAGGGCGGGGGCTGCTTTCCTGCCAAAGCAGCAGCTTGAGGCTCCGGGACGCTCAGCTTTGCTCCCAGGAAAAGCTGGGAGATTTTCTGTCTCTTTTATGTGGGTGGCCTTGCTGCAGCCACAGCCGGGCAGGCACCTCCTGTCTGCAGCTTTCTGGGTGGGCAAGGGAGCAAGTGAATCAGAGCTGCTTGTATCAGAGGAGGACGCAGGGCCGAGGAAAAGTCACACGTCTGGGCGGGGCGAGGTGGCTCACACCTGTAATCCCAGCCCTTTGCTGGGCCGAGGCAGGAGGATCACCTGAGTCCAAAAGTTCGAGACCAGCCTGGCCAATATGGTGAAACCCTGTCTGCACTAAAAAATACAAGAATTAGCTGGGCGTGGTGGCGGACGCCTGTAATCCCAGGTACTTGGGAGGCTGAGGCAGGAGAATCGCCTGAACCCGGGAGGTGGAGGTTGCAGTGAGCCGAGATCATGCCACTGAACTCCAGCCTGGTGACAGAGTGAAACTCTGTCTGAAAAAAAAACAACTACATATATTTGGGAGAATTTTGGTGTGGCTGTGAACTTGAGCATCTGAGGGGAGGTTGAAAAGGGTTAGTGAGTCAGATGGTCCTGAGGGAAGAGGATGGGAAGAGCAGTCACAGTGGGAATCACTGGCTGGAGGAGGTGCCTGCAACCAGGAGGAAGGAGAAACTGAGTCTCCTGGCAGCCAGGGAGAGGCTGGAAAGCAGATGATCTGAGGAGCTCTTGTTGCTTGGCTCCGGATTTGACTGGCAGAGGGAAGCTCTCTGCGTCTGGGTCTGGAGAGGAGATACACGGCACGGGCTGTGAGGAGATGGGTGGGTTGATCTGGAGCCTTCTGCCCCAGCGGTGTTGCTTTTTCTGTTTCTGCAGCAGTTGATGGGCAGGCCTGGCTGTTCCCATTTGACTCAGAGTTTTGGAGACTTTCCCAAAGGATGAGGCTGCCAGGCTGAAACCAGACAGAGGGGGCGGGGCCGGCATGGAGAGGGGGCGCGTCCTGGGGTGGGGGGCAGCTGCGCACCCTGCCACTGTGGAGTTCCGGGGTCCCAGGAGACGGCTGAGGGGTGCCCTCTGGCCGGTGTGGGCTCTGGTGGGGTGGGTGGGGAGTGGGGTCCTGTGTTCTGGAGACGTAGCCACTCTGGTGCCCCTGAGGCCCGGCTGAGCATGTGTTCCCTGCTCCCCAGGTTCCTCCTGGTCTTCTCCTGCCTCGTGCTGTCTGTGTTTTCCACCATCAAGGAGTATGAGAAGAGCTCGGAGGGGGCCCTCTACATCCTGGTGAGCCCCGAGTGAGGGTGGTGGGGGCCAGAGGGGCCTGGGAAGGAACCGGAGCTGCCTGGGTGTCTGTCCCCTATTCCTGAGCTGCCTAGGTGTCTGTCCCCCATTCCTGTTACTACAGAACCTCTGACACCCCCAACCCTGGCTTCCTGTACAGGCCTCCCCGACCCCCACTGCACAACCCCTCTCCCCTGCCCTGCACCCTCTAGCCCCGAACCAGCTCCCACAGCCCCAGCACGGGCTGTGACTTGGTGCTCTGTCAGCCCCACCTGCCCCCAGCCCCACAGCCCCACCCTGGCTGTGAGTAACTCAGGCTTTGCCTCACCCGCTCTGGTGACGTCACAGCAGCTGACAGCCGCGCCTCCATCCCCTCAGCCCCCTTTTCCTACCCTCCCATTATCTCCGGAGCCAAAGCTGTGGGGTGTCCCCAGCAGACGGCAGGCGTGGGTGTTGGGGTGGGGGTGGTGACGCTGGCAGCAATGCTGTGCCAGGGCGGGGTGGCTGCCATGGCAACAGGAGGGAGTACAATTCCTGTGTTGCTGTTGGTAACGGGGTGGGGGGCTCTCAGAGAGAGTGGTCCCCACCCAAATGCCCCTCCCTCTACTGCCCGCCCTGTCCCTCTGTCCTGGGACTGCCCAAGGTCTGGTTGGGGGCTGTGCCCCCTTGTAGTTACCTGGGTCTTTCATGGCCCTGCTGTACACCCCCAGCTCACACAGGGTCCCCCAGCTCAGACAGGGCCTCCCAGCTCAGAGAGGGCCCCCCCCAGATCAGATAGAGTCCCCCAGCTCAGACAGGGAAGCCCCCCAGCTCAGACAGGGCAGTCCCCTAGCTCAGACAGGGTCCCCTAGCCCAGACAGAGCCCCCAGCTCAGATAGGGCCACCCTCCCACAGCTCAGACAGGCTCCTATTCCAGCTCAGATAGAGCCCCCCACAGCTCAGACAGGGATGGGGGGAGGGTGGCCCCCTGGATACAGGGACCCCAGAGGGCCCAACCCGTCCTGCCCAGAGGCTGGAGAGGGGTCGGGCTAAGCTTGCAGTTTCCTGTGGGGGCCTCCGGCCCTGTGGCCTGGTCTCTGGGCCAGAACAGCCCCTGTGGGTGCCCAGGCAGGGCCCCCAGGCCCTCCCCCAGGCCTCACGTGGCCTCAGCTCGCCTCCCCTGCAGGAAATTGTGACCATCGTGGTGTTCGGTGTTGAGTACTTCGTGCGGATCTGGGCTGCGGGCTGTTGCTGCCGTTACCGCGGCTGGAGGGGAAGGCTGAAGTTCGCCCGGAAGCCGTTCTGTGTGATTGGTGAGGCCTGGTGCGGGTGTTGGGGCCAGGGACCCAGGCACGGACTCAGCCCTGGGGGGAGCTGGGGTGTCTGCGTGGGCTCCTTCTGGAAGTTTCTTCTCACCTGCTGACTTGGAGTCAGAGCCTGTGGTTAACTCTGCCTGAGTTTCAGGAAGAGGGACGTGGCACCAGGCTGCCTGTCCCGGGCCCCACAGGTAGGGTGGACGGTCGTAACGGCCTTCCTGAGGCCGGGCAGAGCCCATGCCCGGCACTTGGCACGCACCTTCCCTGCCCTCTGCACAGCATCCTGGAACCCTGGGCGGGGGTTTCCCCAGGAGCTGCTGGGGCAGCCCCAGCTCAGCAGCTCCACGCCCACCTCGCAGACATCATGGTGCTGATCGCCTCCATCGCGGTGCTGGCCGCTGGCTCCCAGGGCAACGTCTTTGCCACGTCTGCGCTCCGGAGCCTGCGCTTCCTGCAGATTCTGCGGATGATCCGCATGGACCGACGGGGCGGCACCTGGAAGCTGCTGGGCTCGGTGGTCTATGCCCACAGCAAGGTGAGCCGTGGCGCCCAGGCTGGTGGTGGGTCCCCGAGCCTGCACTGGGCCTCCCCTGCCCAGGGCTTGCTCCGAGAGCCCTGGGTGGAGGGAAGGAGGTCAGCGGTGGGTCTGGCTGGACGGGCCTGGGAGCCCTTCAGGTGGTGAAGCCACTCCCCAGCCTTTCTTCTTGGTGCCTCTTCCCAGGGCTTGGGCCATCTTTGTCATCTGTCTCCAGAAAGTTGTTTTTCCGAAAGGCCAGGCCAGGCCATTTCCGCCCCTGCATCCCCCGCCCCCCTCACTTTCCTGCTGAGAACTCTGGGTTCTGTCGTTGGGTGTATTCTTCCTGGGTTTTAGTGCCTGGATCAATACGCCAAGCTACTCACGTGCCTGGTGGTGGTTCAAGCTGCGGTTTGCCGCGGCAGCTGGCGGGGGTCCCCGGTGACTGAGACTCCATCCTGTCAGACTGTGCTGTCCATCCACCCTACGCATGGGTGGGCTTATTTGCTCAAACGGCCCCTCCCCATTTTCTTCCCCCCTGTGCCCTGGCCGGGTGGTGGCTTTGTCTGCAGAACAGGCAGGGGTCAGCCCCTGGGGGCCCCTCTCTCCCTGGATGCCATGGGGTTGGGTGTTGGCTGGAGTGGGCACCGTTTCACATCTGTGCCCTGAGGCTCAGAGAGGCCGAGGGTGGGTCTCCACAGTCCCGAGATTCTCCAGCTCCGCCAGCCACTGGCACAGACACTGCTGACCCTGGAGAACACGGCGGGCCAGCCACGCGAGCTGCTGGAGGCACAGGGGCAGGGGCTGGAGCAGCTACGAGAGTGAAGCTGGCCGCTGCTCCGGGTACCCCTGGCCAGCCCCGCCACTGACCCTGTGTGGAGCCTCTGCTGGCCTCAGGAGAGGGGTTCAGCCCCACATCCCTGGAGATGAAGCCCAGGGAAGGCTGGGGCAAGGCTGCAGTGCTCCGGAGGCAGGTGGCTGGTGGTGACGGCGATGCCATCTGCCTGGCAGGAGCTGGTCACCGCCTGGTACATTGGCTTCCTCTGCCTTATCCTGGCCTCGTTCCTGGTGTATTTGGCGGAGAAGGGGGAGAACGACCACTTTGACACTTACGCGGACGCACTCTGGTGGGGCCTGGTGAGTCGTGGGCCTTGTGGCCTTTCCTCTCCCTGCTGTCCCGCCTGCCCGCTGGCTGAGGACACACCCCTGTCCGGTTGCTGGACCAGGCTCTCCCTGGCTGAGCCGGCTCCATACGACTCTTTGGGGCCACCTGCTGGCCGCCTGTGGTCATGACAGCACATGGTCGTGGCTGAGGCAGGGGTTTGGGTGGGGAGGGCTGGGCCCAGGGTGGGTGGCAGCGCTGAGCTCAGCCATGGTGGGATCTTCTTCCTCCTGAGTGACCCCCCCACCTGCTCCTTGTCCAGATTGTTGGGGGAAGGGAGAGAAGAGGCATCCCTAGGAGGTCTGTCCTGGGCAACCCTGGTTCAGAGGCTGACCCCGTGACCTTGCGTGTGGCGGTGGGGCTGGTGGGTGGGAGGCTTTGTCCTCGGTGCCTGTGGCTGGCTGCCATGTCCTGGGCCTTGCTGTCGTCCCTGGCCTCCTTCCCTGGCCCTGCCCCTTGGAGTGAGAGGTGAGAGAATTTGAAGAAGGACAGCTTGGCCTCCAGACTGTCTGTCCAGGTGGTCTCCAGGCCACCCCCTCCCTGGCATTCCTGCTGCTGGGACCCCAGCCCGCCCCCTTAGCACCTGTGCCTGTGCTATGGCGGGGCTCCTCTTGGAGCAAGTCACCTGCTGAGAGGGTTCCTGGCCCAAATGGGGTGGGGTCCCTGATGCTCTGTGCTTTTGGAGACCAGGCAGCTCTGCAGGCCCCACTCTGAGCACGTCTGAACAGACCTGGCTCCCAGGCTCCTCCCCACCTGGGGCCACAGGCACCCTCAGGTTGGTGGTGTGCAGGGCAGGGTGTGTGGTCTCCTGGGAGGCTGAGACCAGGCCCCAGCCCAGCCCCACACATGCCAGCCAAGTGGCTCAGCCCCATGGGGAAGGTGTGGGTAGCTCCACCTGGTGCCCAAGGCACAAGCAACTGATCTGAAATATTTTATTAACTGCATGAGACCCAGACTCTGTCTTCCCAAGCAGGGCTTGGGTAGGGGTTGAGAGCTGAGTGTGCCCGGGCCCAGGCTGTGGACCAGGTGGATGTCCTGGGCTCACTGAGCTCACGGAGCCATGTGTGTGGCTTTGGCCCTGCCACGGGGTCAGCATGGGCCCGGGGCATCCTGAGCTGTGACTGCTGGGCCCTAGGGCTTCAGTGGAGGCGGCAACAGCCTTCTTATTTTTGGGATTGGACTGAGATTTTTATTTGGGTTTTTTCGGGGTCTTGCTCGCGTCAGGTGAGAATATAGCTGGCTCTGCGCCCACCGTGCCCTTCCCCGGGCCCCTCCATGGTGGATGGGGCCGCTTCTGTGCTTTGCTTTGGGGTTTATCTGATTAATTCCAAACAGCAAATAGGGATGCTGGTATTCCCCGACTGAAACATGCTGACTGTGTACCTCCTACTGGGAGAGAGTGAGATCCACCCTGATTTCCCTTTCTTGCTGCCTTTGGGGGCCCCCCAATATGGAGGGAATCCCACCCTTGCTTCCCCCAAAGTCCAGGCCCTGTCCACCAGGCCTCCAGCTTCCTTTTCCTGAAGTTGCCCCCATTTCAGAGGAGCAGGTCAATGGCCAGCTGAGAAAATTTCAGGGGCAGAAAGTTTTGAAGAGCTGTGTGTGAAAGTGTCTGAACCCCCCCCCCCCCGGGGAGGGGTGGAGGGCCTGGCCCCTTCCACAGACTTGGCCCTCGGTGGGCCCCGGGCTCGGAAACTGCTCTGGGATTCTCTGGCTTCTTTTGACTCACCTGTTCTCCCAGCATTCTGGCCAGGGTCCATGTCTCATTGCCCCACCCGTCTCTCTGCTGTCTGTGTCTTTCTCTCTTTTTTTTTTGAGACAAGATTTTGCTCTGTTGTCCAGGCTGGAGTGCAGTGGCGCAGTCATAGCTCACTGCAGCCTCGACCTCCTAGGCCCAAGTGATTCTCCTGCCTCAGCCTCCTGAGTAGCTGGGACTACAGGTGTGCGCCACCACACCTGGCTAATTTTTGTATTTTTAGTTGAGACAGGGTTTCACCATGTTGGCCAGGCTGGTCTCAAACTCCTGGGCTTAAGTGATCCAGCCACCTCGGTCTCCCAAAGTGCTGGGATTACAGGTGTGAGCCACTGTGCCAGGCCCATATCTGTCTGTCTGTATCTCTTTGTCTTTATCTGGTTCTGTTTGTGTCTCTGTCTTTGCATATCTCTCTGTCTCTGTCTCTCTGTCTCTCTATCTCGGTCTCTCTCTGTCTCTGTCCTTCTGTGTCTCTCTCTTTCTGTCTGTCTCTGTCTCTCTGTCTCTGTTTGTCTCTCTGTCTCTATCTCTCTCTCTGTGTATCTCTCTGTCTCTGTCTCTCTGTCTCTGTCTCTTTCTGTTTGTCTCTGTCTCTCTCTCTGTCTCTGTCTCTCTCTGTCTCCATCTCTGTCTCTCTGTGAGAGGTTTCGAGGTCCAGGCCTCGCCCAGCCTCCCACCTGCTCCGTGTGGCAGCCTCCTGCTCAGAGCCTCCTGTGTGAGCTGCTTGTGGTGGTGGCTGAGGCCCCAGGTGCTGCTGCTGCTTTGTGCCAGGCCGAGGCTTCCTGTCTGTGGGGAGTGGGCGCCCTGCCCACCCTGTCCTCAGACCACACAGCGGCATCATCAGAGCCCAGGGTAGACTCCCTTCCTGGGGCTGCAGGTCCTGGTGAGAGATCTCCCCTCCCAGGGGGTGGGACCCCTGCTGTCTGCGCTCCTGCCTCGACCTGTCCCTCTGCTTATCTAAGACCCTGCTCCCCGCTCCTGGGGGTGGGACCCCTGGCCCTGCGTCTGCACTCTTGCCTTGACCCCTCCGTCTGTTTATGTAAGACCCTGTCCCCCCAGGGCCTGTTGCTAGCCCACCTTCTGGCCCCAGCCAGGGCATTCCCCGTGTGGCTGTCCTGAGCCCCCTGGCTTGTGGTTCTGGCGGCAGGGTGGCTGTGGCTCCCACGTCTAGCCCTGAGTGCAGGGTGCCTGCCCCGACTTTCTAGGCCCCCACGGTGTCTCTTGTTGGAGCTGCCTGGAGACAAGCCCCTTCTCTCCTTCCCCTCACCCAGGCCCCTGGGGCGGCCTGACCTGCCCCCTTGCCCACCACCCTGAGAGAAACTCTAAATAAAACCCCTGGGGTCCCTGCTCCAGGAGGAGCCCATCCTCCACCCCTGTGGGGACCACTCCCCTGCCTCTCCTCGTGGCCTCCTCCCGCCCACCTCTTCTCCTCTGGCCTCAGCTCAGGTCAGGCTCGGGGAGCCCCCTGCATGCCCCACAAGCCCCCGTGCCCCTTGAACTCCCTGCTCACCCCTGGAGACCCCCATGCGCCCCTTGAGCCCCCTGCTCACGCCGCCCATTTATCTGGGTCCCTCTCGCCACTCCCGTCTCCCCAGCTGGGCCCTGCAGCCGGTTGGGGGCCACTGTCCTGCCTGAGCCCTTGGGGGAGTCACGTTGCTTGCCCTCTGGCTCTCAATGTGAGGAAGCAACAGAGCCTTTGGCTGGACCCGGCTTCTGGCCTGTAGGGGAAGAGGTGTGGGGAGTTTGGAGAGGGCTCCAGGGACGAACTGCAGCCCACCTTGACCCTGGCCTCACCCAGCTCCGTGTGGGTGGCGGCATGGGGGTGGCCCCGAATCTGTCCCAGCCTTAGCCCTGAGCTGCTGGCGGGCATCCTGCCTGCCCTCGGGTGTGAGCAGGCCCTTCCGTGACTGGAGCCTCCGGTCCTGCAGATCACGCTAACCACCATTGGCTACGGGGACAAGTACCCCCAGACCTGGAATGGCAGGCTCCTCGCGGCGACCTTCACCCTCATTGGGGTCTCATTCTTCGCGCTTCCTGCAGTAAGTCTGGCTGCCCCGCTGCCTTGGAGTCGGGGGGTGAGTCCCAGGCATAGTCCAACCCTGAGGAGTCGCGGTGTGAGTTCCAGGCTATAGTCTGACCCTGCAGAGTCAGGGGATGAGTCCCGAGGCATAGTCTGAACCTGAGGAGTTGGGGTGTATGGGGTCCCTGGGGTGTGGCCTGACTCTGATGAATTTGGGGTGTGGGGTCCCCGGGGTGTGGCCTGACCCTGATGAATTTGGGGTGTGGGGTCCCCGGGGTGTGGCCTGACCCTGATGAATTTGGGGTGTGGGGTCCCCGGGGTGTGGCCTGACCCTGATGAATTTGGGGTGTGGGGTCCCCGGAGTGTGGCCTGACCCTGATGAATTGGGGGTGTGGGGTTTCCGGGGTGTGGCCTGACCCTGATGAATTTGGGGTGTGGGGTCCCCGGGGTGTGGCCTGACCCTGATGAATTTGGGGTGTGGGGTCCCTGGAGTGTGGCCTGACCCTGATGAATTGCAGGGCATCTTGGGGTCTGGCTTTGCCCTGAAGGTTCAGGAGCAGCATCGGCAGAAGCACTTTGAGAAGAGGCGGAACCCGGCAGCAGGCCTGATCCAGGTGAGTCAAGCCATCTCCCCGGGGGCCAGTGTAGCCCCCATCCTGGTCCACCTTGTCCAGGAGTGGGGACCGCTCTGGCCTTCGCCTCTCCCTGTGGACGGGGCCACAGCCCTTACCCGCTGCAGGAATCTGGAAGGAGTGAGGACATGAAGTTTGTGTGTTGAGAAATGGGGCAGACCCCTGAGGTTGCACAGGGGTGGCTCCCATGAGGACGCTGGAGCCCGGTCATCATGTCCTCCCTGCAGCACCCTGGGAGGCTAGCGCTCCTGCTCTGCAGCTGCAGGGCCAAGGCTCCCAGAGCCCACACCTGCTGCGGGTCAGCGCCTGACCTCGTCTGACCCCAGTGCTGGCTGTGGCTGCCACGATGCCTGCCCAGACCTCACCCAGCCCTGTCCCACCATTTGGGGGTGGGTGGGGTGCAGTGACTGTTCTGGCATCCACAGGTAATTCCTGAACCACCTTGACAAGAGGGACAGGCAGTAGCACTCCCTTGGGATCAGCCATTCTTGCAGCTACTCCCCAAAGTCTGTCCCATCCACTGGACCCACAGAGTTGACTGGGATCCCTGCCAGCTGGACGTGGCCTGTCTTAGACAGGAGAGCTTGAGATGGAGACACTCCCGGGTTACCCCAGTGGGCCCTAAGTGCAGTCATGTGCGTCCTTAGAAGAAGGAGATTGGACACAGCAGAGGAGAAAGCAGTATGGAGGCAGAGATTGGAGTGATGTGGCCACAAGCCATGGAGTGTTGGCCATGGCAGGGTGTGTGCCTCTCGTGGTCTCAGCCCTGGGTCCAGCCTGCCTTAATACGTGTGTGTGTTTATCTCCCACTATAAAAACTACAAGCAGTGATTTATTTTTAATGCAAAAGAGTATAAAGAAGAACAAAAATGCCCCCAAATCTCACTCTAATATTGACAGTTTAGTGACTACGTACATTTGGTGAAAAGGTTAAAATACTGCTCGAAAAAGAAGCTCCTCAGCACCCTGGCTCCTGTCCCCCGACTCCTCTCGAAGGTCACTCTTAGCAGCAGCTCGTGCCATTTCCAGAGCAGCCTCACCTTGGGCACAGCTCAGAGGCCCTGCAGCCAGGTTCCAGACCACTGCATCAGAGACATGGCAACAAAGAGAGTCACATGAATTTCATGGTTTCCCAGTGCATGTGGAAATTAGGTTTACAGGCTGGGCACAGTGGCTCATGCCTGTAATCCCAGCATTTTGGGAGGCCCAGGCAGGCAGATCGCTTGAGGTCGGAAGTTTGAGACCAGTCCAGCCAATATGGTGAAACCCCATCTCTACTAAAAATACAAAAAATTAGCCGAGTGTGGTGGTGGGTGCCTGTAATCCCAGCTACTTAGGAGCTGAGCTGAGGCAGGAGAATCGCTTGAACCCAGGAGGCAGAGGTTGCAGTGAGCCAAGATCGTGCCACTGCACTCCAGCCTGGGCGACAGATCGAGACTTGTCTCAAAAAAAAAAAAAAAAAAAAAAAAAAAATGGGCCGGGCGCAGTGGCTCAAGCCTGTAATCCCAGCACTTTGGGAGGCCGAGACGGGTGGATCACGAGGTCAACAGATCGAGACCATCCTGGTCAACATGGTGAAACTCCGTCTCTACTAAAAATACAAAAAATTAGCTGGGCATGGTGGCGCATGCCTGTAATCCCAGCTACTCAGGAGGCTGAGGCAGGAGAATTGCCTGAACCCAGGAGGCCGAGGTTGCGGTGAGCCGAGATTGCGCCATTGCACTCCAGCCTGGGTAACAAGAGCGAAACTGTCTCAAAAAAAAAAAAAAAATGGTGTTTACACCATGCTGTAGCCTAAGTGTGCAGTAGCATTGTCTGAAAAACTGCACATTCCTTCATTTACAAATACTTAATTGCTAAAAAGTACTAACAGTCATCTGAGCCTTCAGCGAGTTGTGATCTGTGCTGGTGGAGGGTCTGGCCTTGCTGCTGATGAAGGGGGCTGCTGAAGGCTGCGGTGGATGTGGTGATTTCTTAAGCTAAGGTGAGAACGAGGTTTGTCACGTGGATTCACTGCTCCTTTCATGAAGGATTCCTCTGCAGCGCAACACTGTTGGGCAGCGTTTTCCGCACAGTGGGGCTGCTTTCAGCACTGCAGTTCATTCTCAGATGCTGCCACTGCTTTGTCAACTAAGTTTATGTCATATCTCAATCCTTCTGTCATTTCAACACTGTTCACAGCATCTTCGCCTGGTGGAGATTCTGTCAACGCCCCCTGAAAAAAAATAGATCAGAGAAAAAATATCTCCAGACATGTCGAACGTATTTGGGAATGAGAAGAAAATATTATAACCAGAAATGAGCCGGCACGGCTGGAGGGTGGGGGACAGGAGGCTCTCATCCAGAGATGAGCCAGTGTGGTGAGATGCCCATGTGCCCAGAGGGGGAGGGGCAGGGAGCTCTCATCCAGAGATGAGCCATCGTGGTGAGCTGCCCGTGTGCCTGGAGAGGGAGGGGCAGAGAACTCTCATCCAGAGACGAGCCAGCGTGGTGAGATGCCCGTGTGCCTGGAGAGGGAGGGGCAGGGAGTGCTCATCCGGAGATGAGCCAGCATGGTGAGATGCCCGTGTGCCCAGAGGGGGAGGGGCAGGGAGCTCTCATTGGCTTAGAAGTTCACATAAGCTGCCTGGAAACAGAGTTTGTTGGTTCTGGAGGCTGAAAACTGAGTTGGCGTCTGTTCATGGGTGGAGATTTTGGCGCTGCTGTGCCAGCGTTCTTCCTGGAGCATCTCATCCAAATCTCTGTGGTCCTGACAGGGAATTCCTTGTGGGGTCATTTTAGAACATTCTTGGCATCGTCCTCGTCTCAGCCTCATGGGTGTGGGCCCTCCTGCCTTGTGCTCTGTGGCCCCAGTAGCTTTGGGGCTGGTCAAAGTGGTCTCACCCTGCTGTCTGCAGCGTTCATGGCCCATACTGGGAAACCACCTACTTGGCTCATCCATAAAAGCTGCTCCTCATCTGTTAGAGTTTTATCCTGAGATGGCAGCAATTCAGCCCCATCTTCAGGCTCCACGTCTGGCTCCAGTTCTGCTGTTTCCACATTTGCAGCACCTTCCTCCACTGAAGTCTTGAACCCCTCAGAGTCTTCCATGAGGGTCGAAATCAACTTCTCCCAGACTCTTGTTACTGAGATATTTTGACCTCCTCCCATGAATCAACTGTTGTGAATGGCATTTAAATGGTGAATCCTTTCCTGAAGGTTTTTCAGTTTACTTTGCCCAGATCCATCAGAGGAATCACGCTCTCTGGTAGAGGAATCATTGTCTGTGTAGAGCAATCACTGTTTGTGGCAGCCACCGCCTGGCCACATGTGTCTCTGAAATAAGACTCGGAAGTTAAAGGCACCCCTGATGGATGGTTGCAGAATGGGTGCTGTCTGAGCAGGCATGAACACATGTCCCTCTCCTCGTCTCTCCATCAGAGCTCTTGGGTGACGGTGCATTGTCAAGGAGCAGTAATATTTTGGAAGGAATTTTTTTTTCTAAGCTGCAGGTCTCAACAGTGGGCTTAAAATATTGAGTAAAGGGTGCTGCAAGCAGACAAGCTGTCCTCCAGCCTTCATTGCATTTTCAGAGCAGATTCCGCATCGTCCGCAGGGCCCCAGGATGTTCAGACTGTACAGTGAGCGCTGCCTGCAGTTCATCACCAGCCACCACACACCCGCAGAGGGTCTTCTTGCTGGTGGTAAACGCTGTTACAGGGGCCTTGGGAGGCTGTGGTGGGCAGATTCCTTGAGACTAGAAGTTGAAGGCTAGCTCTGGCAACAAAGACCCAGTTTTTTTTTTTGAGATGGAGTTTCTCTTTGTTGCCCAGGCTGGAGTGCAATGGTGAGATCTTGGCTCACTGCAACCTCCGCCTCTTGGGTTCAAGCAATTCTCCTGCCTCAGCCTCTCAGGTAGCTGGGATTATAGGCACCCACAACCATGCCCAGCTAATTTTTCAATGAGCTGTGTTCTCAGCTACTCAGGAGGCTGGTGTAGGAGGATCGCATGAGCCCAGGAGTTTGGAGGCTGCAGTGATCTATGACTGCGCCACTGCGCTCTAGCCTGGGCAACAGAGCAAGACCTTGTCTCAAAAAAAAAATTAAAAAACAGAGATAAACTTAAAAAGTAGATAGAATCAATGAAATCAAAAGTTGATTCTTTGAAAAACAAAATTGGGCAGGGCACAGTGGCTCATTCCTGTACTTACTTTGGGAAGCTGAAGCGGATCACCTGAGGTAAGGAGTTCAAGACCAGCCTGGCCAACATGGTGAAATCCTGTCACTACTAACAATATAAAAATTAGTTGGGTGTGGTGGTGGGCACTGTAATCCTGGCTGCTCAGGAGGCTGAGGCAGGAGAGTCGCTTGAAACTGGGAGGCAGAGGTTGCAGTGAGCTGAGATCACACCACTGTACTTTAGCCTGGGCAACAGAGTGAGATTGTCTCAAAAAAAAAAAAAAAAAATCAAAATTGACAAACCTCTAGTCAGACTAAGAAAAGAAGAGAGAGCATTCGGGTTGCCAAAATCAGACATTGTTGCGAACTGAACGCGAGCCTGGGAATCTCGTCCAGCAAGAGGGTCCCAAACCTGGAAGAGAGCGCGCGCCGGAAAAAAAGGAGATAGAAAAGGCGAGTTCTGGAGGGCTACATGTGCTATGCTCATGCAGCAATTTTATTTCTGCAATGTGTTTCATTATATACTTTTCTGACGTTAAAGTTGTTTACACCAGATTAACGTACTTAAGTTACAGTAAGCAAGTTACACCCAGTAAGTAAGTTAAGCACAGTAAGTAGGCTACACCCTGTAAGTAGGTTACTTCCAGTAAGTAGGTTACGCCCAATAGGTCAAGGTAAGTAGATTACAATCACGCCAGTAAGCCATGGTAAGTAAGTTACAGTGACACCCTGTAAGCTATGGTAAGTAAGTTACAGTTACACTCAGTAAGTTACGGTAAGTAAGTTACCAAGTGTAAATACTTAAGTTAATATTTTACAATGAAGGTAACAAGGGTCCAGAATGAACACAATCAAGCAATAAACCATAAGAAGCTGAAAGTGGACACATTGCCTCCCAAGTCCTCATATCCATAAAGTAATGTCTATTAATTATTTAGAATAGCATATAGTTCCTTTCTCGGTTCCTGCTTTCCCTCAGCTCGACTCCCCCAACCGGTGATCTGTGTCCGGGCTCAAGCTCACCGCATGGCGAGGCCCGTTTCCTAGGGGCCTCACACAGGAGCGATCCCAACATGATTCCCTCAAGACATAAAAGTGGAGATGTTGCTACTGACTTCATAGAACTAAAGATATGAGAACACTATGAGCAGCTGTGCCACACAAGTTCACAACCCAGATAAAGGGACAAATTCTTTGAGACACGTAAGCTACAAAAACTGACTCAGAAGTAGAAAATCTGAGACCTTAGAACAAGGAAAGAGATTGAGTCATTAATCAAAAATCTTCCAACACAAGGCCGGGGGGGGGGGGGTGGGGGGGGGGGGGGCCACACGCCTCTAATCCCAGCACTTCAGGAGGCCAAGGGAGACAGATTGCCTGAGGTCAGGAGTTTGAGACTAGTCAGGCCAACATGGAGAGAAATCCTGTCTCTACTAAAAATCCAAAAATTAGCTGGGCATGGTGGTTTGCCTGTAATCCCAGCTACTTGAGAGGCTGAGGCAGGAGATTTGCTTAGGAGGCGGAGGTTGTAGTGAGCTGAGATTGAGCTATTGCACTCCACCCTGGGGGACAGAGCGAGACTCTGTCTTAAAACAAAACAAAAAATTAGCTGGGCGTGGTAGTGCCTGCTTGTCCCAGCTACTTGGGAGGCTGAGGTGGGACAACAGCCAGAGGTCACCGTGAGCTGAGATCGCACCTCTATGCTCCAGTCTGGGTGACAGAGCGAGACTCTGTCTCAAAAACAAAAATTATAACAAAGACCTAAAATGGAAAGACACCCTGTTTCCATGGATTGGAAGACTTAATTTTACTAATATAATCTTAACAAAAATTGAGCAGCTACATATTTAATACAATGCAAATTGATCTACAGATTCAGTGCAATTCTTATTGTAATTCCAATGTCCCCCCCACCTTTTTTTTGTCTTGCAGAAGTGGAAAGGCTGATCCTAAGATTCATGTAGAATTGTAATGGACCAAAACAATTGGCCAAAAGGGTCTTGAAAGGGAAGAACAAAGTTGTAGGACGAACACTTTCCAATTTGAAACTTTACAAAGCAACAGTAATCAAAACAGTATGCTGTTTGCGTAAGACAGACATACAGGTCAAGGGGATGGAATTCAGAGTCCAGAGTTAAATCTGTGCGTCTGAAGTCAGTTTTCAAGGGTGCTAGGTCCAGTGGAGAAAGAACAGTCTCTTCAACCAGTGGTGCTGGGACAATCAGGTGTCTGTTCCTTAAAGAATGAATTTTGACTCTCATATTATGTACAAAAATTATAAAAACCCTCAGAAGAACACACAGGCATATATCTCTGTGATCTGGATTTTAAAAAATATATAATAGCAAAAGCACAACCACAGAATGTGGGAAAATGCTGCGGATAGTGTCTGTGATAAGGGTTAGTATTCAGTATGTATTAAGAACTCTCACAACTCACTAGCAGAAAGACAGCCCTACAGACTGCGGGCAAAGGGTTTGCTCAGATGTCCTCCAAAGAGGACAGTCGGAGTGGCCAGTAAGCTCCTAAAGAGACGCCCAGTGCTGGTGGGTGTCAGGGAAGTGCAAATCAAAGCCACAGAGATGCCACTTCACATCTGTTAGGATGGCCAAGATTTTTTTTTTTTTTGAGACAGGGTCTTGCTCTGCCACCCAGGCTGGAGTGCAGTGGCGTGATCTTGGCTCACTGCAGCCTCGACCTCCCGGGTTTAAGCCATCCTCCCACCTTAGCCTCCTGAGTAGCTGGGACTACAGGTGTGCACTACCATACCCGGCTAATTTTTATTTTATTTTATTTATTTTTAATTATTTTATTTATTATTTATTTTATGTTATGTTACGTTATTTTATTTGCAGGGTTTTGCCATGCTTCCCAGGCTGGTATTGAACTCCTGGGCTCAGGCGATCCACCTGCCTCAGCCTCCAAGGTGTTGGGATTACATGCATGAGCCTTCGGGCCTAGCCCGGGTGGCTAACAGTTTAACAAATGGACAGTCAGTGTCGGTGAGGATGTGGAGCAATGGGGACCCCTTGCTGGTAGGAATGTGATGACGAAGCTTGATTGTTTCTCAAAAAGTTGACAAACATGGAGTTATCATGTGACCCAGCAATTCTGCCTCCAGGTATAGACACAAAATAATTGAAAACAGATCTTCAACCAAAAACGTGCACACGTGTTTCACAGCAGCAGCACTCACAGGAGCCAAAAAGTAGAAACAGCCGAAATGCTCATTAATGGATGAACAGAGCCTGATTCACCCATACAGTCCTCCTGCGAGGAGGAGCGGGCCCTGACGCGCTAGGACATGCTCGGTGGAGGGAGCCGGCAGGGGAAGTGCCTGGGAAGGGAAGTCCATGGAGGCCCCAGCGAGCACCCTGGCGGTGGCTGGGACCTGGGGGGCTGGGGGACCAGGAGTGCCTGCTTAGTGTGTATGATGGTAGGGGGTTTCTTTGGGGTGATGAAGAGGCTGCTGAGTTGAATAGTGATAGTGGTCTCAATACTGTGAATACAGGTGCTGCTGGAATGCACACCTCAAAACAGCTAAAATGTGAGCTTTGTGATAAGAGATACACATATTTCAGCACCGCAAAACAAAGCAAAGGCATAGACAACGGGAAATCTGGCCAGGTGGGTTCAGCCTAACCTGCAGGCTCCCGTCTCCTGCTGGGGAAGCCCCCCTGGGCTGGGCTACCATCCTGGGAGGGTGGCGGCTGGGTCCCTGGCCCTGTCGGGCAGAAGGTAACCCCCATGACAGGTGATATCTGCCAGGAGCCAGGTGAGAGTCATGAACAGAACCGAGCATTGCCTCCCTGTGAGCTCCTCTGGGCCCCGAGTCAAGCCCCGGCTGCTCCCCTTCTTCCCCTGTCTGTCCTGCAGAGGGTAAACTGAGGCTGTGGGGCGGATGCAGCACTGGGGGCCAGCCTGCTGGCGGACAGTCCATGTGCCTGACTCACAGCATGGGGGCCCCAGGTCCCCTCTGCCTGGTTCCCTCTGCGCCCAGTCTTCTCGGGCGCGCCCTTGCTGCCACCCCTGGCCCACCGACCACCTTGTCTCTCCCTCTGCAGTCGGCCTGGAGATTCTACGCCACCAACCTGTCGCGCACGGACCTGCACTCCACGTGGCAGTACTACGAGCGCACAGTCACCGTGCCCATGTACAGGTACCGCCACCGCCACAGGCCGCCACCAGCATCCCTTCCGTTTTATTTTCCATTTGTTCTTAAAACCTGTTTTTGTTGTTCATTCTTTTGATGTTTTTCTTTAAAATGTATGTGTTTTTCACAAAGGAGTTCTGTGTGTGGTTTATTTCGAGGCGTTGGTTCTGCCCTGAGTTCCGGCTGTGGCTTTGTTTTCACCTTCATTTCTCCACCTTTGCTTTGTTGTCCTGCTGTGGTTGTGCTGTTTGTAGACCTTGCAAGGACGCCCCCCACCAGGGAGCTTGCAGTGAATGGCCCCCCCAGGCTGCTCCGGATCTTCCTGCAGCTCCAGGTGCCCAGGCTTCATGAGTGGAGCCAGCACCAACCCTGTCCCCCAGCAAAGACCAGGGCTCCTGCGTGGGGTGGGGGCAGGAAACTGATCCCAGCTTACAGTGAGGCTTTCAGACCGGAAGACCCGAATTATCCTGGGGGTCCCAGGTGTCCCCCAATAGCATAGAGCACACAGACACCCTTGGAGCCCTTTGGGCAGCAGATAAGGAGCCTAGAAAGTGCCTGTCCATGGCCCCGGGGGGCAGTGCCAGCAGGTCCGGTGACCCTGTAGGTGGAGGGCGGCTTCCTGTGATTCTGTTCCATAAGGGCAGGTGGCAGCCAGTGGGGATGTTCCATGCTGGGCTCTTGCTTAAATTAAGGTCTGAGATGAGGGATTCTGAGGGCCTTTCACCCGGTCCAGGCGGGCCTGACCCCTTGAGTCCGTCTGGGTGCACCCCACCCTGCCGGCCTGCCCTCTGCTGTGAGGTGGGGAACGAAGCCCGGATACTTACCAGCTCAGGTGCCCCCCCCAACTCCTAGGGGGTGTCTGTACCCGGGAGCCTTCCCTGAGGGTGGGGTGGGTGCACAGGTTGGCTGGGACTTCTTGGCTTGGGGCAGGGCCCCGGGTCCTCTTGAGGCTCCTGAGTTGGAGAGGGTGGATAGGCCCTTGGCCATCCTCAGCTGCTACACGCCTTTCAGGGTGTCACCTGGGAGGAGGGTGCCAGAGCCCCTGCCCTCTATGTTTGCTGTTGTCCTCCGACCCCTCCCTCAGCACCCCTGCCCCCTGTGTCTCCTGGAAGCCCGTCTTTCCTGGGATGCGGTATGTGCCCCTGTGCCTGCGGAGCGGCCTCTCCCAGCCCCCGGCAGGGCAGAACCGGCCTTTGTGCTAATTTTCTTCATTCTGTTGTTTCCCCTCCTCTCCTTGACTATTTGTTTCATTTTCTTTTTCTTATCCCGTTCTTTTTGAAACTTTTTGTTCTTTTCCCTTTGTGTGTGTGTGTGTAACACTTGAAAGCTCGCAAACTCAAACCTACGGGGCCTCCAGGTAGGACATGCATGGGGCAGCAGCTGTGTGTGGTTCTCATTCTGTCTGGGACTGTGACGGGACGAGGCCCTCGAGCCCTGTGGCCACCCGGTCTGCAGAGTGACCGCTGCCCCCCACCTCCACCAAGTGTCCCTGCACCCTGCCCCTCGTGGCCCCATGCTGGAGGCCTCTTCACCCTGGGCCCTCCCCTGCCTGGAGCCCATGTGCCAACCCTGCCCCCACCCTGGCCTGTCCACTCTTCTCCTGCCCCCCACCACTGGTGCTTCCTGCTGCTGGCTGCCTGTGTCCTCTGTGGCCTCGTCCTGTCCTGCTTCTGGCCTGGCTCCCTTCCTGCCTCCATTCCCTCCCCATGGGCCCCATCTGTGAGCAGAGCAGGAATGGTGAATGGGGACTTCCCCACTCTGGCGCTTGGCACCTGTCTGGGGCCAAGGGTGGTCCCAGGCCAGGACTCCCAGGCCGGCCCTGTCCTTGTCCCACTGCAGCTCACAGGGTGGCCTCTTCAGGGCAGCTCACCTCTGGGGCTGCCTCAGGGTCTCCTGCCTTGGACTCAAGTTTCTCCTGAGTCTTGCCTTGGCGTCAGGGGATCCCCAAGGCTCCTGGCCCGTCCACCCCTGTGTGTCCCCCACTGCTGAGGGTGGGAAATGGGGCTGTCTGCTCAGACTGGAGGGTGCTGAGCTTTAGTGGAAGCCTCCCTGCAGACAGGACACAGGGCCTCTTCCAGCCAGGAGGGCAGGCGGCGCTCTGTGCCAGCATCACCCAGCAGAGCCTGGGCTGGCCCCTCCCTGCACAGACCTGGAGGGGTTCTTGTACAGACGCCCTCCTGACTCCTCTGGGGCCTCTCCGTCCTGGAGCAGAGACTCGGCCGCCCTTCTTGGGAGCTGTTAGAAGGCTGACCCTCCATTCCCAGAAGGGAAGGGGATATGGCCCTGGGCAGGGGTGGGTCCAGGGCGCCTCTACCCCAGACACTCGGCCATGGACGTCTCGGGCATCTGCAGAGGCCCTGCTGCCCCTGGGGCCGAGTGGCTGACTCTGGACTCTGCTCTCTCCCGGGGCTGCCCCTGCATTGTACCCTCCTGTCCCGGCCCTGCCGACTGCCTGTCTGCCCTGGTGCTGCTGCTCTGTGTGTTTGAGGCATGACCTCCCGTGTGGCTCTGAGGGCTGACGTGTGTGTCTCTGACCCGGGTTTGTGTGCGTGTGGGGTCTCCTCAAGGAGGGCTGTGGAGCCGGCTGTGGCCCCTGGACAGACTTGGGCCAGTCTGAGCTCTGCTGCACCACAGCACCAGCTCACCCACCGCCTGGGCTCCTGCTCAATCCTGACCTGGACGGCCGACTGCCCTCTGGAGGGAGGGTCTCACAGCCTCACTCTGGCCAGCATTTTGGGGGTCCCTCTGGGGCTGCAGAAGGAGCAAAGAGGGGGCCAGGTGCGGCTATACCAGCTCACACCTGCCCAGGCTGCAGGGGGTACCAGAGGCTGGTGGGGGCAGTTGCTGTGGGGCGGGGAGGGCTTCTGGGCAGCTCTGGAGGGAGGAGTGTTGCTGGACAAAGGGGAGTTGGTGGCAGGTGGTCGCCAGGCCAAGGGGCAGTGCAGTCAGCCGTCCTTTTGTTTTGGAGGCAATGGGGAGGCATTGAGTGTTTGGTCAGGAGAGTGGCAAGGATGCCTGTCTGGAGGACCAGGTAAGGCTGGGTGGGCAGAGGCAGGGCAGGTAAAGAGTCTGGGGGATGTAGGCCACGCCCAGCTTGGGGCAAAGGAAGGACATGGGCAGGGACATCTCCAGAGGTGGCCATGGCTGTGGCCACATAGGGGGTCAGCTGGGTGACAGCTGGGCTGGGCTGGGAGGTGGCCGCCCTGCCTCAGAGGCAGAGGAGAGGCCAGGACATGGCCCCAGTGGGGAGTGCTCCACAGGTGGGGGTGGGGAGGGTGGAGGCTGTGGATGGAATGGCAGGGCCTGGGAGCTGAGGCTGAGCAGTCAGAGGGGCAGGGTCAGGTGGGTCAGGGAGCCGGGTGGGGCTGAGGCACCCAAGGAGGGTTTCTCCTCCTGAAGTGAGCTGGAACACTGTGAGGGAACGGCAGCAAGGAGGAGGGCAGGGTGAGGTGGGTGGGAGTGGGGTGGGTCGAAGAGGACATCCCACCAGGTGTGGGGAGGTGCTGCACGCTGCTGGGTGGGTTTCGGGGGCCTGCACCTGGTCCTGCTGGTGGCAGGGCAGGCAGACGGTGGTGGGTGTGACCAGAACTGGGAACTCGGCTTCGAGCAGAGCGGGGCCACCTGTGGAGGGTCCCCGAGGTGTCTGGGCTTGATGAGGCTGGACTCATCCTGTAGACTCCGGAATGAACCTCTCTGTCCAGCAAAACCCTTTTCTGTTTCCCCTCAAGTCTTCCAGCTGTGGCAGAGAATGTGGCTGTGCAGAGGGGCTGGAGCCCCAAATACACTGGGGTGCCGTCCTTCAGGGATATTTGGGGATCAGAAGCGGGGCAGGGATAGGACCTCCCCGACCTGTGTGTCCTCCTCCACCTGCTCCACGCCACAGGGTCGGGGCTGCACGGGCAGCCAGGCGCCCTCTTCCCTTCTGCGCCTGCTGGTCACCAGGGCCAGGCACAGCTGGAGCACGAAGGTGGCTCTGGGGCCTGCCCAGGAGAGTTGGGCCTGAGCGCAGGTCCAAGGGGCGGCTGCCTGAAGCCCAGCCGCCACACACGCCCCTGGGTGTCTGACCCTGTAGGCCTGGCCTGTGAGCTGTGGAAGCAGAGGGAGGTGTCCCAGGACTCGGCTCACCCACCTCTCCTCCTCTTGCTCCAGACTCATCCCCCCGCTGAACCAGCTGGAGCTGCTGAGGAACCTCAAGAGTAAATCTGGACTCACTTTCAGGTCAGCCGGAGAGCTCCAATGGGGCGGGTGGGCGTCTCAGTCTTCCTGAGGGGCCCCAGCTGCTCATGGAAGACTCACCCCGGACAGCAGCCCGGGGGACTCCAGGGAGCTGGGACGCACTGGGATGCGGTGGGATGTTGGACTTGGTGATGGTGGTGCTTTCTCTTTCCGCATCTGCCGACCTGGTCTGGGCTCCAGTCCCCAGAGGGGCAGGTGGTTTTTGGGGTGGGCAGAGAAGGAGGGGCGGGAAAGTGAGGGGTGAAGGTTAACTATGGGCTGGGGGCTCTGCACGGCTCCTACTGGGACCTGGGTATGTGGATCTTAGGACACAAAGTCTCCCAGCCCCGCGTCCTCCCCAGAGTTCCTGACTCAGGCGCTGGTGGCACCTGCTGCCTCTCCCTCAGGCCCATAGCCCACGGCTCTCAGACTACTGGGCGCCGAGTCTGGCTGTAGAAAGGCCTGCTGAGCAGGAGAGGTGGACAGTGTGTGCACCCGCCATGCCTGCCCAGGCCCAGGGCTGCCCCTACGCAGTTCCAGTCTGAAAGCTCTGGGCAGGGCAGCGGCTTCCAGTGGGTTGGAGATCTCCGCCTCCTGGAGACATGCTCATGTCCTGGAACCTGTCAGGACAATCTCAGACCATCCTGGATTTTCCGAGCGGGCCCTGAGTCCGATGATGAGTGTCCTTATAGGGAGAGGGAGATTTGGGAACACAGAGGAGGCAGTGCCAACCAGGAAGGGGAGAGCCCAGGGTGATTCAGCTGGAAGCCAAGGGCTGCCTGGAGCCATGAAGCCGAGAGAGGCAGAAACCACCCTCCCCTGGAACCGTTGGAGGGAGCAGGCCCTGCCCGCACCTCGATTTTGGACTCTGTCCTCTGGGACTGTGAAAGGACAAATGTCTTTGTTACACACACACACACAGTGGCACTTAGTTACAGGAGCTGCAGCAAATGACCCTGGATCTTCACACCCGGGAGCTGCGTGCTGCGGCACCAAACGCCTCCCGGGGCGGATGCGACTTTGGAACTGGGTGACGGCAGAGGCTTCTTTCTAGGATCACAGGTCCGTGTGTAGAGGACGTTCGCCCCAGGAAGATGCACACCCAGAATCACACACGCCTGATTTAAATGATTCGGATGACTTTATTATTTTATTTATTTATTACTGTCATTTTTTGGGACGGAGTCTCTCACTCTGTCACCAGGCTGGAGTGCAGTGGCACAATCTCAGCTCACCGCAACTTCTGTGGTTCAAGTGATTCTTCTGTCTCAGCCTCCTGAGTAGCTGGGATTACAGGTGCCCGCCACCACACCCAGCTAATTTTGTATTTTTAGTAGAGATGAGGTTTCACCATGTTGGCCAGGCTGATCTCGAACTCCTGACCTCAAGTGATCTGCCTGCCTCGGCCTCCCAAAGTGCTGGGATTACAGGTGTGAGCCGCCACACCTGGCCTCTGATGACTTTAGATGATGAAATTTGTGATTTTTTGAACTGATGGGATGTGAATGAGATTTCGGACATGAGTATTTTGAGGTGCAGGCTGGAAGCCGAGGTGTCCTGCAGAGTTGCTGGGTGGAGTCCCGGTGCTTCTGGAGTGAGCTCAGGAGGAAGTGAGGATCAGTTGTTGGAAGCTGGAGGGAAGGTTGTCCCCATGTTGCTGCTGGCTGTGTGGCGCTGCTGGGCGGAGGCAGAATTTTTAAGTGAGGAATTTGGATGTTTAGCCAAGATTTCCAAGCAAAGTGTGGCAGGTGCAGCCTAATATATTTCTGCTGCTCATAGTAAAATATGAGAGGAAAGAGAGGATTTCAGAAGGGCACGTGGTCGATCCTGTCAAAAGAATATCAAAAAATGATGTAAGAAACCAGAACTTGGAGGTTTGGGGAGGTGTTCTGCCTGCCCAGCTTGCAAAGGGTCATGAATTAGGAGATTCACTGTTGGCAAAGCCAGCTTTGGCAAGAAGCGCATGGGTGTGGCCAGACAACCTTGTGTGGAGGATGCCACGTGTGCGATCACGGCATCCATGCCACCATCTCAGCAGAGCCCTGGCGTGGAGATGGAGGCCCGGTGTGGAGGTGGGTGGAGGCCCGGCGTGGAGGTGGAGGCCTGGCGTGGAGTTGGAGGCCCGGCGTGGAGGTGGATGGAGGCCCGACATGGAGGTGGATGAAGGCCCGGCATGGAGGTGGATGGAGGCCCGACATGGAGGTGGATGGAGGCCCGGCGTGGAGGTGGAGGCCCTGTGTGGAGATGGATGGAGGCCCTGTGTGGAGATAGATGGAGGCCCTGTGTGGAGATGGATGGAGGCCCTGCGTGGAGATGGAGGCCTGGTATGGAGATGGAGGCCCAACGTGGAGATGGATGGAGGCCTGGCGTGGAGATGAAGGCCCTGCGTGGAGATGGATGGAGGCCCTGTATGGAGGTGGAGGCCTGGCGTGGAGATGGAGCTATCGGGAAGGAGGTGCAGAGCGGCCTTGTGTCTAACACCATCGCACCTGTGACGTATTCAGGAGGCCCACAGGGTTTGGGGGAGCTTCATACCAGCAGAAACTAGATGGGCAGGGGCAGTGTTGAGCGAAGGGAGGAAGGCATTGGACTTCGGGAGTCTGCAGGCCAGAAGCAGACCAGTGGCGCCCCTCAGCTGTGAACACAAGCTGCCCTTCAGGAAACAGGGAGTGACCCTGAGGCTCCGGCAGAGGCCAGTGGGGTGGAGAGCCCTGAGGCGCGTCCCCAGAGCTGTGCCACATGGCGTTTGCCTCGCTGGATTGAAGACCGTGGCGGCTGGTGTCCCCTCTGTCATTCTCTGTTTTTGAGCAGGGACACCGTCCTGCATTGACACTTTAAGCAGGTGACTTGTTTTCCAGATTCACAGGTTCATGCACAGAGGATGGCAGCCCCAGCGTGGCGCAGCCATGGCCTCACACATACCTGACTTCAGTGACTTCCATGACTTTGGATAATGAGATTTGGGACTTTTTGAACAAATGGGATTTCCCCTGAGACCGAGTCTCACTGTGTCTCTCAGGCTGGTGTCTAGTGGTGCGATCACGGCTCACTGCAACCTCTACCTCCTGTGTTCAAGCCATTCTCCTCCCTTGGCTCCTGAGTAGCTGGGATTGCAGGCAACCTCTACCTCCTGTGTTCAAGCCATTCTCCTCCCTTGGCTCCTGAGTAGCTGGGATTGCAGGCACCTGCCAATACACCCAGCTAATTTTTATATTTTTAGTAGAGACAGAGTTTCACCATGTTGGCCAGGCTGGTCTTGAACTCGTGACCTTAGGTGATCCATCCGCCTCGGCCTCCCAAAGTGCTGGGATTACAGGTGTGAGCCACTGTGCCCAGTCAATGGATAGGATTTCGATGAGGTTTTGGACATAGAGTCCATGCTGCAGAGAGTGGAGACTCTGGGGGATCTTGGCAGGGGTGGGTGTATTCTGAACATAAATGAATTTTGGGGGTTTGGGGGAACACAGTGGGTTGGATGCTGGTCTCCAAAGTGTCCCAGAGTGTGCAAAGGTGACCTTATTTGGAAAAAGGTCCTTGCATCTGTAACCAAGCCTGGGATCTTGAGGCAAGGTCACCCTGGATCATCCAGCGAGCCCTAGGCCCGGTGGCAGCTGTCCTTACAGCAGAGGAGACATGCAGACGTGGAGAGTGCTACGGAGAGATGGAGGCAGAGACGGGGCTGTGCGGCCACAAGCCATGGACTCCTGGGCTGCCGGGAACTGCAGGAGGCGATGAGGGACCCCGTGCTCCACGGCAACACGGTCCCCGTCACGTGAAGGATCTGGAAGTGCACTGAAGAGCCTGCCTGTTACTTGGACCAGCCCTCGCACCCATGGGTGAGCAAATCATGACCCGCTGATCTCACTTAATTCATGCCGCTGTCACCAGCACAAACAGCCCCACGGGAGACACCGTATGGTCCAGACTGCCTTCCCTGCAGGGTGAGGCAGGGACAGCTGGCCTCGGAGGTGCGAAGCCTGTGCTCGCTGACTGGCACAGTGGAGCCACCCCTGGAAAATCGCAATGAAGAGAATCATCCCATTAGGAAATGCATGGAAAAGAGAGTTGGAGCCGCTCAGTCTGTCTTGAAAATCGACCGTAAATTAAAATCCCTTCTGGAGCTTTCGTCAGCAAATGTGTCCTTTTTGGAATCTTAGTAACACTGGTGTGGTTCTGATTAAAATGAGTGTTCCTCACGCGGAGGGTAGTGACCCCCAGGTCAGAAGAGCAGAGGCCCCCGTGGGGTCCCTCTTCCCTCTTGGAGCTGCTTCCACGGACCCTGGGGTGCCTGTTCCTGGGGCCGTGGGCTCTCTGGGGCTGGTGGGCCAGCTCCGCCCCTGCCCGGCCTTGTCTGAGACCCCCGTCTCCTGTAGCCCCCGACACATGGGACTGTGGGGGGCTGGGCTGGCTGGGGGACCCTCATGAGTGCTGAGCAGGGGCCACTAACTCTCTGTTGCTTCTGTTTGAAGGAAGGAGCCCCCGCCAGAGCCGTCGCCAAGGTCAGTGCCTGCCCCCAGCCGCCCTAGTGTCTGTGTGTGCACAACCTGTCGTGGGGGCGTGAGGGCCTCAAGGGCCTTGCCTGTGCTTCCCTGTGTGACCGAGTGTGTGTCCAGAAGTGGGTCCTTAAATCACTTTTCCTACTCAGCCCTCCCAGTGATTCGGTTTTACTCTGCAGCACTGTGGATCTGGCAGCTGGGGGTGCTTCTTGAGTGGATCCCCTCCCCCCCCACCACCACAGGTCTGGCCCCAGGGGTCTCGGAGGCAGAGGGTTTCTGTGAGCGCACCCCCTCCAGCTGCAGGCACATAGAGCCAACTCACAGCTGGCCACAGTTGAGGCTGGCCGAGGTGAAAGTTCTGAGGGGGCCTCTGGCGCTCCTGCTGCTCTGGGTCCAGGGCATCTGGAGCACGTGGGGGAGACCAGGGCCCTCATCCTCCAGGGGAGGGTCTGAATCTTCTCTGCCTCACGCCGCTGGTGGAGATTTTCTGCCCAGTCCCCTCTCCCCGATTGCCAAGGTCGAGGTGGGCCAAGGGTGCAAGGTGCTTCGCCTGATTCCCTCTCCCAGGCCCTGAGGTTCTGTGGGTCAGGCAGGTTGGAGTCGGGACGCATGTGGGACTCTGCTGGGGTGAAGGGTGGAGACAGAGAATCCAGATAATTTCACAAGTTAATTCTGTGTCTGCCAAGCCCCAGTCCACCCATGTGTCAGTCTGAGGGGGTCCAGGCTTCTCTGGACCCCCAGCGCCCCATCCACATGTTGCAGAGTAAGTCCAGCCTCTTGGACCTGGTTGAAGATGGATGCCTGCCTGCCCTGTGCCTGCCCGAGCCCTCCTGGACTTCGATGAGACGCTGGGGGGCTCGGGTAACCACCAGGGGGGCTCGTTCATCCTCTCAGGGAGGCTAAAAGATCGAACCAGGGCCCAGGGAGAGCCAGGTCCGCAGCATGGCCTCTGCTGGTGCCATGGTCGGAAGCTGACCAGGAGCAGTGCCAGCCCCGGCTGTCGAGGGGTCACGTCATTCTCCTGTCACTGCCTCCCCCGCCTGCTGCCGGCCCGGAGGCTGGGGTTGGCTGGGGGGTGGGCACTGTGCCCTCACAATGGGCACCTCAGCTGTGATTTAGGTGGACTCTCGGTGCTGCCGCAGGTGGACGTGAGCCTTCCTGACCCCTCCCTGAGGCCTGGCCCCACGCCCTTGCTGGGGGGCTGCTCAGTGCCTCATGCACCCTCCCTCGACGCCCCGCCTGCCCGATCCACCTTCTCGTCTCAGCTTCTCTCTTTCTCTCTCTCCCTCCCGCCCTCCCCCCCATCTGGACACCCTCGGCCCCCACCTGCTTTAACCCCTGTTACTGCCCTTCCTGGGCCCCTCTCGTCTGCCCTCTCTTTGGGGATGAGTCGCTGGCCCTGAAAGCGAACTCCAGGTGAGGACACCCGGGAGCCTCTGGGCTCCCACCCCTCCCCCATCTCTTCCCCACCTTTCCAAGGGGCCCTGCCTGCCTGTGCTTTCCACGCCTCCCCCAGGGGCCGGTGCCCACCCACCCGGCCCTCGTCCTGGGACGCCTGTGGTAAGGGCGCGGGGTGGCCGGGTCTGGGCATCCGGAAGCTGGCTAGGGTGCGGTGGGAGAGAAGAGAAGTCTCTGCCCTCGAGGACCCCCCGCCATCCTGGGATGCCACCTGCCAGGTAACGGGGTGGGTCTCTGTCCCCTGGCCTGGGGCAGCTGCAGCCCCCCATTGCCAGTGCAGGGTCATGCGTGAGAGGCTGTTTCGAAGTTGTTACCTGCCACGTCCCTGGGCTGCTGGCTGAGGGGCCTGCTCTTCGAAGCATGAGCGGGAGCTTGGCTCCCAGCACCCCTCTGCTGCCCGGCCTGTTCCTGTGAGTCTGGTGTCAGCTGGTCTCAGCAGGTAGATGGTGTGGACACAGGGACCCTCACTCCCTGCTGAGACCCCCACTCCCATCCTGGCTTGTAACACAGGCACGTGGCAAGCATCAGCTCCTGTAGGGCCTATGGGCTGTGCTGGAGTCAGAGGAGGCGGCTATATGGGGGTCAGGTGGGGAGCCATGCCAGCTGGGGGGGCTCAGGGCTGTGCTGCCCTGGGGGATCCTGGGGGTCTCTGTGGCTGGGTGGGGAGCCAGGCTGGCTGGGGGGCTCAGGGCTGTGCTGCCCCGGGGGGTCCTGGGGGTCTCTGCGGCTGGGTGGGGAGCCAGGCTGGCTGGGGGGCTCAGGGCTGTGCTGCCCCGGGGAGTCCTGGGGGTCTCTGCGGCTGGGTGGGGAGCCAGGCTGGCTGGGGGCTCAGTGCTGTGCTGCTCTGGGGGGAGTCTCTGGCCATGGTGGCTCCGACTTGTGCTGCCTTGCCCACCCCGCGTCTCCCTGCCTTCTGCCTCTCGCCTGGAGGAGCCCCCACCCACCCTGCCCCTCATGCCCCGTGCAGCTCCTCCTCCTCAGGCACGGTGTCCGTGTGGTTTTGGTGCATGTCTGTCCTGTCTGGTCTTGGTCAGGGTCTGTGGGCCTCGGGGTTGCCGTGGGCCTGCCTGCCTGCCCGGCCTTCTTACCCACGTGTGGAGCTCCCTGTGGCTGATGAGGCAGGAAGGAAGCCCAGTGCCAGCCGTGGGCCCCAGGGCGAGGTGCAGCTGCTCGGGCCCCCCACAAAGCTTTGGGGGGGGTCTTGGGGGGCTGTGGCTGCAGTGCCTCCCCCAGCTCTCCCAGCTCTCAGGCCATGTGGCTCCAGACAGGAGCTGCCAGCCACGCGTGGCTGTGAAAATAATGTGCATTAAAATGGGCGCAAAATGAGAGTCTCGGGGGCCTGGGTGTGGACATGGCTGCAGCCAGCACTTCGATATTGCTGGAGGACAGTCCCATTGCAGAATCTGGCCCTATGCCTGGGAGGGGCCTCTTGGGCAAGGCGTTCCTGCTGGGGTCAAAACTGCAGCCCTCAGGAGGTTTGGGGAAACAGGATTCCGCCTCCTTCCTGCTCCTTTCCCAGGGGTGGGGACGGTCTCCTGGGGCCCTTGGGCAGGGGCCTCTGTGCTGGGGCCTGGGCACCCTGGGGGTGCTGATGAGAGTCTCAGGTCTTTGCCTGCCAGGCAGCCTTGGGTGCCATTGTGACTGGGGTGCCCTGGGGTGGCTGCAGTGGGAGAGGCTTCCGTGAGCAGCCAGAGCCTCAGGCCAGGCGCTAGGTACCGGCTCCCTCCCGCCCCTCCCGCCCTCACATTCATGGTTAACTACCAATCGGAGTCAGCCTTTGCACCACATCCTGAAGGGCCTGGGGATCCCGAAGCCGCCTTCCTACTAAAAAGTGGGACCAGCACAGGGCCTGGGGCGGAAGCCAGCCACCCGCCCTTGGGGTCTTGCAGTGGGGGAGGGTTTGGGAAAGGGTCCAGAGCCCTCAGCCTGCCCCAGCTGCGGAGCGCTGCTGTGACTAGACCTAGGCGCGTCTGTGGTGCCACGTGGAGCGCTGCTGGCGGGCCCCTGCACAGGGAGCACCAGTGTCCAGACGCACGTGTGTGCGAGCAGATGGGGGCTGGGCACGTTCTTCTGGAGCCCGTGTGTTCTGAGCAGACGCCGTTGGCACGCCGGGCCAACTTGTTTGAGAAGTGCTGTCTCGGGGAGCAGCTGCAAGGCGCGTGGAGCGGCCGGGGTGGGGAAAAGAAAGGGCCCTGTGGTTCTTGGTTGTTGTTTTCATTTCTTGCTTAAACATTTGCACATTGTGACACAGAGATAAACCACCAGGGTTTTTGGGGAGATTCTCGGGAAAGTGTTCCATGTTTTCTGAGCCATTTTTAAGAACACTCTCTGGGGAGCCGTGAGTGTGCGGGGAAGGCATCTGAGGGGATCCACTGAGCCCTGAGCTCCTCCACTTCCCAGCAGTGGCAGCCACGCCTCCCTGGTGAACAGAGACCCGCCTCTAGCTGGGGAACTGGGTGGTGGTAGCAGCGCTGACTGGTTTGCAAAGCGGGACAAGTGCACACTTTCCTCTCAGATGCGTGTGCTTACCCCGCCCCTTCCAGGGACCGAGCCCCCACCCACGCGCCTTCTGCAACACCTGAGGCCATGTATTATTGTTTTGTTGGCATGAATACTGCAAAAAATAATACAGCTTTTAAGACATGGACCCAAACTGTGGCTTTGGGTGGAAAAGGTATTTTTGGAGGAAAAAAAACCAAAAAACCTGGGAATTGTTTTTCCTTTAAAAATAGGGAAGTGTTTTCTACTCCGGACGGTAGACGGTGGTGCGGCTTCCGCGCTGGCCTTGCTTGGGCGCAAGCTCTGCCGCTGGGGATGCGCCTGACACCCTGGGCGGTTGCGGTGCCTCAGTTTCCCCGCTCCCAGCCATATGCTGTTGCTGGTGCCCAGGACTAACTGTGCTCTCCTCATTTCCAGTAAAGGCAGCCCGTGCAGAGGGTCCCTGTGTGGATGCTGCCCCGGACGCTCTAGGTACCGCGGAATGCGCCGTACGGACTGACCACTGCTGCACGGCTCCTCTGCCTGCCCCGCTTACTACAGGTTCTGGAGCAGCCAGGGGAGGCTGGCGCCCCAACCCCAGTTCTGACCCACCGACCTTGTGGTGCGGGCTTGGCTCCCTCTATTCCAGCCACAGCTGCGCGCAGGACGGAGCTGGGTGAAGGTGATTCTTGCTCCCCACGCCAGGCGATGCCCTGCGCACAGCTAGAGGGGCCAGCCAGGGCTGTGAACCCAGCAAGGTGTTCGTGCCTCCTGGGTCCCCGACTGCTCTTCAGGGAGCGTTTCCCTGGGGCTGCCACTCTAGCACCTCTGCTGTGCACCTGAGGACGACTGAGCCTCCCCGGCTGCCTCGCCTGCGCGGGGCAGCTCTGTCTGTGTGCCGGGCTCCTCAGGGTCCTGATGCATCCAAAACCCCAGAACACCAGAGGCCTTCCTCTTCCTATAACAGGCCTGAGGGCGGGTGGAAATAGGACGGGAGAGGAGCCGCCTGCTTTGCACCGTGACCCGCACCTCCCTGCCCTGGTGTCCCCAGTCTGCAGGCCTGTGCTGGGGGCCCATCCCTCCTGGCCAGCATGGCCCAGCAAGGTGGAGGCGGCTGTGCCCTGCCCACGTGGGGCCCAGAGGGTGGGGGGCTGCATGCTGCCCACCTGCATCCGTGCATGCTCCGGACCCTGCTCCGCCAGGCCCACCGGCCCCACCACCCTCTCCCTGCGGCTTTGTGCTGCTGCTTGTGCTCCAGGGGTCGGTGCTTGCGGGATCCCCAGAGAGGGCAATGGGATGTGGGCTGTCTGGGACGAGGCCTGCTTGGACTCTGGCAGCCTGTCCTGCCTTTCCAGAGCATCTGTGTTCAGGGTGTTTCCGGTCGCAGGCTGGTTTGGGGCAGGGGCTGAGGTCAGGCTGCTTGGGGACTAGAGGGGTTTGGAAGTTGGGCTGGGAGCCCCGGCCAGAGCATGACCCACACCAGGCCCATCCTGCTTCGAGCAGCCCCCACTGGAGGCCCCTTCATGCACATGCTCCCTGGGTGTCGCTGGTCCAGACACCAGCTGGGTCGGGCTCTAGATGCCGGCTCCCCAGCCTCCTGCTCCCTGCAGGCCCTGCACATCTGAATGTCACCGAGGGGAAGGCAGCAGGCAGCGTGGGGTGAAGTGCAGGTGCCGGGAACACCCCTTGAGCACCGAGGGCAGCTCTGGTCGAGAGCTCCTCCCGGGCGGGTGGCAGCAGCTTTTTGCGTTTGCTTGTTCTTGGCTTGTGCACCGAGGGAAAGCCTGTAAGACCACGTGCGCTCCTGGCAGCCGAGGCGGGCTGCTGGGGTCGGGTGTCCGTGGCATGGAGCCTCACCAGCTGTGCTTGGAGGGTGCAGAGTCTGGGTCCTGGTGGAGGTCCAGGGAGGGAAGGACGGGTCCAGGCCCCACCACCTGCTTCTCCCCGGCAGAGCCTCCCTTGCAGATCTGATGGTGAGGGAAGTCCCCAGGCCGGACCGCAGGGCCCTGCTGAGGCTTCCTTTGGCTCCGCTGTGTTGGCTGGGGCAGTGCACACGGGCTTCGTCCCGGAGACCCCGGGGCTGTGCTGGGCATGGGGTCTGGCAGGGCGTCCCCGCCTCTTGGTGGGGCTGTGGCTGCTCGTGGTGGCAGGGGGGGCGGGGATTCCCCCTGGAAAATGGGACGCAGGCGTCGGGCTGTGGAATCCACGCCACTCCTTCGCTGCAGAGCCTGGCAGCTTCGGGGGCTGCACCTTCTTGGCCGCACGTCTCTGTGGCGCATGGGTGTTTGACCCGTCACCTCCCAGGCTGCAGGCAGGAATCTGGTGCTGATTCCTCACTGTGCGCCTTTCCCACTGCAAGCCGTCATCACCGGGCTCCCGAGACCAGCCAGGGGCAGCCTGGAAGCTGCAGCTGATCCGATGGCTCCGCCCTCCACCCAGTGCTTCGCCCCCCGCCATGGGAAGGGAGGTGGCCTTTTCTCTCTCTTTGGTGACTGGACCTGCCTGTGTGGAGACCTGGAGAGGGGAACTGAGTCTTCCAGTGACCCCCACTTGCCCTGAGGCCTGAGCAGGGCCAGGAGGGGCCCGTTCCTACCTCTGAAATGGCTCGTGCAGTGGAAGAGGAGAGAACATTCCAAAAGCCAGAGTCCCTCGAAGCCCGTGTCCAGGTGCTCCCTTGGCCCCCAACGGGTTATCCTCGGCCACCTGTGCTTCCGTTGGGTCAGGGACCCAGAGGCCACCACGGCACCAGGACTCGGGGCACCCCTGGCCCCCATGGGCATGGCATGTTGGCCCTGGTCAGTGCAGGGCGTGGACTCAGGGCTGGGGTCCTGAGCGAGCCTGTACCATCAGCTCCGGACGCCCCCGGCACACACTTCGGGGCTTGGGGGATCTCGGCCTCTCCGTCTCTTCTTCCCCTGCGGGCATGGCATCCAGGGGCTTCTTTCTTTCTCTCAGAGACCCTGGAGTGGCCACAGATGGTCTGGGCAGTTGCCTGCTGCCTGGGGGATGGGGTGGGAGGGGCAGCCAAGCTGGCAGTGTGGAGGCTGGCAGATGGGCGCGGTGGGCCCTCCCATTGTAGCACGTTATCTCTATGCCGTCTGGTGGGCGTGTCTCTCTGGCTGTGGGTCCCGGTGGGGGCCAATGCTGGCTGCTGACCGGGGCCTCGGCTCCTCATTGTTGGCTGGGGAGCTGCCATGGAGCCCAGGAGGTATTAGAGTACATCAGGGACCCACTGGGCCTCCCCACCCAGGGGCTTGTCTCAGGCCCCAGGAACGGTGCTCTGGGCCCAGAGCCGTCCTGAGAAGTTCCATGGCTGCTAAGCATGGCTGGGCGTTGACGGGTCCCCAGTTCACAGGAGTCCCACTGTCCTTAAGGGAGCTGGGGGCTCTGATGCTTCCCAGACCTCGGGAGGTACATCTGCCTAGGGTACCCCAGCCGCAGTGAACCCCTACCTTCACTGTTGCCCAGAGGATGCTGGAGCTGAAGAACTCAGGTGCAGACCTGTCTCCTTGGTCACCAAGAAACTCGGGGACAAGGCAGCCCCAAGGACCTCCGAGAATCCGGAGCTGGAGGCCCAGCCAGACACAGCCACAAATCCTGCTTCACGTCTTGAGGGCTGAGGGCCGGGCCACTGTGCGGCTGCCTCAGAGGGTACCTCCCCGTCCCCTGGGGCCAGGACTCTGACCTCTGACGGAGAGGCTTGTTGCCTGAGGCCCTGCTGGTGGAGGAGCCATCATCCAGTCCTTCCTTCCAGAAGCTGAAGGAGCAGTTCTCTGTCGGAAGCCCCTGGTGGGAGGGGTGCTGTGCAGGGGGAGGCCTGAGCCCTCCTGAAGCCCACCCCTCCAGGTGGCCCCCAGTGTCTGGGAAAGACCTGGGTGTGGCTGTACCAGTGTCCGCTGCAGACTGGGCCCCCATGCCCTGGTTGTCCCTCATACCCTCGACTCTGGGCTGAAGCAGAGGGACAGACGGAGGGAAGGGACCGGGCAGGCAGGGAAGGAGGGAGGCTGTTTCCTGGGGGCAGTTATGGCTGTGAAAAGGCCACAGGGGAAACCACGGGCGAGGCCGAGGCAGAGGCAGGTGCCCGAGAAGAGCGAAGCCCGAGTGCCACTGGGTGAGGGGCTGGCGGGACAGAGTGAGGAGGGCTCCCGCGCCTTGCGATGGTGGCAGAGAGGGATTTAAGAGTCCACAGACATCGCCTCCCCTCACATGGCCAAGCTCTGGCCACGCCAGCGCCAGCCTGGGAGCTTGCTGCCCACCTGGACTCCCCTCCCTCCTTCCCTCCGGGTACTCCGTCCCCGTGGCACCTGCCCCGAGCCGACCTGTGTGGCTGCTCCTCAGACCTGGGTCTTCCTCCCGTCGCGTGGGCAGGGTCTGCTGAGAGCCGACACGGCCTGCGTTCTCTCTGGAGTGACTTCTCTCGCTGTGTTTCTGTTTGTCGGTTCCCGTGGGAGCAGCCAGAAGGTCAGTTTGAAAGATCGTGTCTTCTCCAGCCCCCGAGGTGTGGCTGCCAAGGGGAAGGGGTCCCCGCAGGCCCAGACGGTGCGGCGGTCACCCAGCGCCGACCAGAGCCTCGAAGACAGCCCTAGCAAGGTGCCCAAGAGCTGGAGCTTCGGGGACCGCAGCCGGGCACGCCAGGCTTTCCGCATCAAGGGTGCTGCGTCGCGGCAGAACTCAGAAGGTGGGTCTGGCCTCCTCAGCGCCCCCTGATCTGAGACTGAGCCCCTCCGGGGATGGACCGTGGCGCCCAAGCTACCAGGGCCACCTGAGGCATTGCTGCCTCTTTCGATTGCTCTGGGAGTGGAAACCTCCTCCCTCCCTTTCTAAAATTGAGGTGAAACTTGGGCAACATAAAATTAACTATTTGAGAGTGTAGGCCGGGCTCGGCGGTTCACGCCTGTAATCCCAGCACTTTGGGAGGCTGAGGTGGGCAGATCACAAAGTCAGGAGTTTGAGACCAGCCTGGTCAACACAGTGAAAACCCATCTCAACTAAAAATGCAGAAGTTACCTGGACATGGTAGCGGGCACCTGCAGTCCCAGATTCTTGGGAGGCTGAGGCAGAAGAATCGCTTAAACCCAGGAGGCAGAGGCTGCAGTGAGCTGAGATCGTGCCACTGCACCTGAGCCTTGGGGACAGAGTGAGACTCCGTCTCAAAAAAAAAAGTGTAGAAATCCAGTGGCATTTAGCACATTCACAGCGAGGTTGTCACCACCATCTCAGCCTGGTTCTAGAAGATTCTCATAATCACAAAAGAAAACCCTGTGCTCATCAACAGTCACCCCATTCCCCACCTCAGCCCCAGCACCTGCGGTCTCCGGCGCGCGGGTCAGTGGCTCCTGGGTGGGGCCATCAGCTCTGGCTTCCTTCACTGAACCCAGTGTCAGAATGGCACATCCACAGTTAGCATCCCGAGTGTGATGCTCTGTGTTCTGTTCAGCCACTGGCAGGGATGTCTTTGGATGCCCACATCGACCACTCCCTGTGGCCATAGCCTGCCAGGGAAGGTCCTGGCTGAGAGCCCCTGATGCAGAGGGACAGGTTTCTGGAAAAGCAGGGGCACCAGTGGGGCATCCCGGGGAGCCTTGAGGGGCTCTCTGGTGTTCCGTCCGGCCGGTGTGTCCTGCAGGACCCCACAAGTGGATTTCCCGTCCCCCTCGACCCCTCACGGCCTGTCTCCTTTACCCCAGAAGCAAGCCTCCCTGGAGAGGACATCGTGGATGACAAGGGTTGCCCTTGTGAGTTTGTGACTGAGGACCTGACCCCGGGCCTCAAAGTCAGCATCAGAGCCGTGTGGTGAGGACTTGCCCAGCCGGGATCCAGGGGGAGGGAGGAGGGGCCTCCTGTCCGTGGTCGCATCTGCTGCTGTGCTTATAGTGCAGGACAGCAGCCAGGAGACCGGGTCTGCCTGGAAAATAAAGGGCCAAGCTGCGGGTGGGCCTTGCTGATCGTCCCAGGTCCACTATTCCTGGGACTCCAGCAGGCCTCCAGTGGGATGCCGGATCAGCAAGAGGCCTGAGGCCTGGCTCTGCCTGGCTTAGGAAGCAGCTTAGCCACCTGTGTCTGGTGTGACACGGAGTCCAAGGGGGCATGGACAGGCCTGGAAGCCTCACCCGTCCAAAGTATAGCAGGGACCCTGAGGCTAGGCCCTTCCATGCGTGGAACAGGTGGGTGGCAGACAAGAGGGGTGAGTCCAGCCACCTCCAGGGGCCAAAGTCTCAGAGGTGCTGGGAAGGCGACAGGCAGGTGGACACGGGGCCAGCCTGGTGTGTGTGGCCGGGGTCTCTGGCTCAGGGCTCACGCCCCTCCCCCCACAAGTGTCACAGGCAGGTGGACACGATGCCAGCCTGGTGTGTGTGGCTGGGTTCTCCCGCTCAGGGCTCACTGTCCCCCGCTCCTCAGTGTCACAGGCAGGTGGAGATGAGACCAGCCTGATGTGTGTGGCCGGAGGTCTCTGGGTCTCTGGCCCAGGGCTCACTCTTGTCTCCCCCTCCCACAGTGTCATGAGGTTCCTGGTGTCTAAGCGGAAGTTCAAGGAGAGCCTGCGACCCTACGATGTGATGGACGTCATCGAGCAGTACTCCGCTGGCCACCTGGATATGCTGTCCCGCATTAAGAGCCTGCAGTCCAGGCAAGAGGCCCACCAGCCTATCCAGCAGGGGAGCAGGGGACGAGAGCGGGGTGGGCGTCCGCGCAAAAGCCCAGCGTGGCCCATGGTGGGAGCGCAGGGGGTGTGCAGGGCGGGGCCTCCTCCCCCACCCACGGCGGCATCTGTCAGCTTCAGTTGTGTCTTCCAAGTCTGTTGTAATATTTCTGTTCTCTCCACCTCTCCCCATCCACACTGTGGCGGGCAAGTGTGTGACGTGTTTGTGCACACATGCACATGTGTATGCACGGATGTGTGGGTCCCTGAAATGTGCGTGTGCATGTATAAGTGCATCCATGTACGGGTGTGTGTGGGGTTGTGTGCACCTGTGGCCTGTGTGCTCTGCCATGTGCACACGTGTGTGTGTGGGGTGGAGTAATTCTGCTGAGAGATGAAGCTGCAGGGTGGACCCCACCAGGCAGTGGCTGTGTCACTTCACACCTTTTCTTCCACGCTGCTCTCCTTGTGAAGGGAGGCCACTCCTGAGCAGGGCCAGCACCATGTGTGTGAGAACCCCTGTGCCCACTCTAGTAGTCAAATGTACATTCATGCAGAGACACACAAGTCAGGGTTTGGCACACTATGTACACACGTGCACCCCATTTGCAGGCATGTACCAGCGAGCACACAGACCCATGTCCCCTCTCCCACACACATGTCCACACGCAACCATGCTCCAGCCTGGTGCCCACACATAGGTGTCCCCTAAGTCCACACACATGCTGGCGTGTGTGCAACCTCAGGCACATACAAACAAACACATGCCATGAGTGTGTGTATCTTTCCTGTGAGGGACACACGGCTCTTGGGAGTTTCTCCTGCAGTAGGGGACATGCTCCTGCTTATCAGGGTCCCCTTTGCCTCCCAGGCCCGCAAGCAAGGCTGTACAGTTTCCCAGCCCTGGGAGTGAGGCTGGGCCCCCATTACAGGGAGAAGGCTGAGACGCTCAGGGACAGCTGGAGGGGATCACAGCCCAACTCAGGCCCTCTAGTGGAGTGAAGCACTCATCTGAGGGGGTGTAGGGCCCATCGTGGGGCTCCTGCTCCGTCCTGCTTCAGGGGGCCCGGGAAGGGGTACCTCCAGCCTTAGCCCACTCCTGCTGTTCAGGGGTCAATGAGGCATCCCCTGAGCTCCCTCCTCCGGGCTCCAGCTGTGAGACCTCCTTTCCAGCATCCTCTCCAGAGTAGTGGCCAGCCTTGTGCTGCATGTGCACGTGTGTATGGGTGTGCATGTGTGCAGGCGTGCACATGCGTGTGTGCATGTTCGTGTTTACGCATGTGCATGCGTGTTCACGCGTGTTCGCGCGCATGTTCACACATGTTAGCATGTTTGCATGTGTGTTCGCGTGTGGGTGCGTGTGTGTCTGCACGTTTGCGTGTTTGTGTGCTAGTGTCCGCATGCATGTGTGCGTGTGCGTATATTTGCGTGTATGCGCCTGTGTGCACATATGTTCGTCTGCATGAGTGTGTAATAGTATGTGTTCGTGTGCATGTGCCTGCGTGCGTGCTCGTGCATGTGCGCATGTGCACGTGTTCGAGTATGTGTGTGCGTGTGCGTGTTCGCGTGCATATGTGCGTGTTCACGTGTGTGTGCATGTGTTCGTTCATGTGTGCGTTAGTATGTTTGCAGGCCTATGTGCGTGTGCTTGTGCATGTTCACTTGTGTGCATGTGTGCGTGTGCGTGTTAGCATGTGTGTGTTCACATGTTTGCGTGCATGTGTGTGCGCGTATATATATTCGCGTGTGTGCGTGTGTTCACGTTTGCGCGCATGTGTGCCTGTGCGTGTGTTTGCATGTGTGCATGCGTATGTGCGCATGTTCACGTGTTCACGTTTGCGTGCATGTGTGCATGTTCGCGTGTCCACGTTTGCATGCATGTGCGCATGTGCATGCGTGTGCATGTGTGCTCACGTGTTTGCATGCGTGTGCGTGTGTTCACATGTTTGCATGCATGTTAGCATGCATGTGTGTATGCGTGTGTGTTCAAACGTGTGCATGTGTGTGCGTACATGTGCACGGGTTTACATGCATGTTTGCATGCATGTGTGTGTTCGCATGTGTGCGTGTGCACACGTTTGTATGCGTGTTGTTAGCATGCATGTGTGTGTGCGTGTTTGCATGTGTGCGTGTGCATGCAGGCGCACACGTGTGCATATGCTGTTGTGCTGACTTTTGTGCTTTGCCTCCACGTCTCTCTCTGCAGCTGTTCTTGTTCACCAGGATCTTTTGTCCTAAATCTTCCCTTTTCCTTCCCTCTCTCTCTGGACAAACAACCCAAACAAAGCAAACTGCCTGGGACCGCGGGCGTCCTCTGCCAGCTCCCGACGATGCGTTTCATGGTGCCTGCAGAGGTCCGTGTGGTACTGGCTCCCGCTGCCGGCGTTTCCCCCGCACGGCACGCTCTGGGACACGGCACCCGGGTCACTGCGGTGGGGCCGCCCGCCGCCCGCTCTCGAGCCCAACGCTTTGCTTGAAACACAGGAAGGACTTGGCAAATCCAAGGTCCACCGAGGCGGCGCCCGTGCTTTCCCGGGAGAGCGTGTATTTACGAAGCCTCACTGTCGCTTCCGTTGGGTGCTCGTTCTGTTTCTGCCAGTTTCTGGCTGACTCCTCTTTTGTGTGGCTTTACAATGCATTTTGCTGGTATCTCTCTTCTTGTTTACTCTGCCAGGATAGATATGATTGTGGGTCCCCCACCCCCTTCAACTCCCCGGCACAAGAAGTACCCCACCAAAGGACCCACGGCCCCTCCGAGAGAGTCACCCCAGTACTCACCTAGGTTAGGATGCCAGCTCCTCCCCCAACATGCCTGTGGAACGGCCGGCCCCTTCGCTCCAGGCCACATGACGGCAGCGCCCCGCTCCGCCCGTTCCTGGGACACAGGGATGTTTGGGATTCTTGGTTCCTGACAAAGCAACACGAGGGAGAAGGCCCTTCCTCTGCCAGGGCCCCAGGCACGCTGTGCCTAGCATCAGGACTGCTAGGGGCCCTGAGCGCTCCTCCTGACTGGTGCCCTGGGGAACCAGGGCTCTGTGAGACTTCCCTCTGGGGTTGGGAGGCCCCCGGGCAGCACCTCCAGGATCAGATGCAGTCAGACATGCAGGGACGTCCTGCTGGCCCTGCCCCTGTCCCCTGGACAAGGCGCCTCCTGGCCAAGGGCCCTCTAGCCTCCGCTGGGAGTGACTTGCCCCTCAGCACTGCCCACTGCGGGGGTGGCCCTGGCCGTGTGCATGGCCCGGACCTGGGCACTTTGTGGCTCTGAGCAGGTGGAGTCTCATCTTGGTGACTCCTCTGTCTCTTGTAAGATACAGACAGTCACAGCATCTACCCCTTGAGACCCTGGGAAGAATACGTGAAGAGACCCTGCCAGGTGCCCAGCGGCAGGTGTGTGTTCCCTGAGTTCTTGCACAGCTTCCAAGCTGTCAGCACGCTAATTAGTGTTTCTGATGAGGGACATGGCGAGACCCTGGCTGATGGGCAGAACGGAGGTGTGGCCCAGCCCCATGTGAGCCAGTTCTTTAGTGATTGATTCACTTTCCAAGGCCTTCCTGCCTCCCAGGGACCCCTCAGATCATGGTTGTTCCCCTTCTTCCAGCAAGTCCGATTGGCTGAGGGAGAGCAGAGCCCCCGGGGCAGAGGCCTGGAGGGTGAGCACAGGCACCCCGGCCCTCCTTGACAGCTCAGGGCAGAGGGGCTCCCAGCATAGTGATGCCAGTGTCTGGGCCAGTGAAGCCCAGGCCTGAGCTGGTGGGGCAGCATCTGGGGCCAGTCTGACCCCTCCTCCCTCTGGGGGTTTCTGCACGTGAGGCTGAGTGTCCGAGTGCTGGACATTTCAACCTTATGGTCCTTCCACAAGAAAGGGGTTTCTGGGAGCAGGCGGGGCTGTGCCTGCTGCTGCCCAACCCAGGGTTGCCCCGGACAGTGTTTGCCGAGTTTTCTGCTCTGTGGTGCCCACAGGCCCGAGGGTGCTGTGCCCCGAGGCTGGTCCTCCGTCCGTCCTCCTGTGCCTTGCCACAGGGGGTGGCAGCTGGGTGTCCAGGGCTGTGAGCTGGGAAGGTCCAATAGCCAGGAGGCGTGCAGGGTCACACAGAGAGGCTGGAGGGACGGGTGGATGCTCCCGCACCCCACGGGCACTGAGCGAGCACTCAGCGGTCGAGTCTCCCCCAGCCTGGGGCCTAGGGCAGGAGGGGCACAGGGTCCTCAGAGGAGCCCCAGCAGCAGCTCCAGGCTGAGCCCGTGGCCAGGGCTCCTATTGGGACTGAACAGTTGGGCGGCCCGTCGTGTGGCAGGGGCGAAGGTGCTGAGCATCTGCCTGGACTGTGTGGACGCTGGGAACACCAGGGACCCCATCTCCTCCATTCCCACTGGCATCTGCTCGGAGCCAGAGGGTCCCTCCGGCCATCCGTCCCCTCCCACCTTCCTCCCGCCACCCTGGCCCTTTGCATGAGTCCAGCATGAAGCCCCGTGGAGCATGAGGAGCTGCGCTGTGGCTGACGCCAGCCTGAAACCCCCTCTGTTTCCCTCAACAGAATCAAGAAAACACCCCTGACCTGTCCCCCCACCCCCACAGAGGCAGGTAGGGTGGCCCAGTGGCAGGAACCTGACCTGTCCCCCCACCTGCAGAAGCAGGTAGGGTGGCCCAGTGGCAGGAAGTGGGGCCTTGGCCCGTCTGCTGGTGTGGAGCACTCTGCTCCCACCAGGCCCCCATCCAGAGGAGCCTCGGGGGCTGTGGCCTCGTTTGGTGGGTCCCGCTCAGCCACACCCTGTCAGGAGCTGCCCTTGCCCAGCTGGGCTTGTCAACTGGCCACACGGTCCTTGCTTCCAAGAGAGCGCCCACAGGGCTGCAGGTCCGAGCCCACACCCAGCCAGCCCAGCATCTGTGGAAGCCAGACTGGTCAGAAGCCACAGCCCTGAGGGTGAAGGAGTCTCCCTCCCTACTTATTGTCATGAGTGACCTATGGCCTCTTGGAGATCAGCTCAGCTGAATTCTGAATCCTGCACACACATATGAAAACATGCACACTTTTGCACACATGAACACGTACACACGTGCACACACTACTGCAGTGCACGAGGATGCCCACATGCACCCTGAGCTCACACGTGCACATATGCACACAGATGTGTACACACAGACCCTCGCATGAGCACACACATGCACCCTGGGCACACACCCTCGCATGAGCACACATGCACCCTGAGCACACACCCGTGCACACACACCCTTGCATGAGGACACACGTGCACACAAACCCTTGCATGAGCACACACATGCACCCTGAGCGCACACATGTATACACACACACCCTCGCATGACTACACATGCACCCTGGGCGCACATGTGCACACACCCTCACATAAGGACATAAATGCACCCTGACCACACACACGTGCACACACCCACGCATGAGCACACACGCACCCTGGGCACACAGATCCTTGCATGAGCACACATGCACCCTGAGCGCACACACGTGCACACACCCTCGAATGAGCACACAGTAACCCTGAGCACACGTGCACACACACCCTCACATGAGGACACATGTGCACACACACCCTTGCATGAGCACACACATGCACCCTGAGCACACACGTGCACACCACATGAGGACACACATGCACACACACCCTTGTATGAGCACACACATGCACCCTGAGCACATACGAGTACACACACCCTCACGTGAGGACATGTGCCCACACACCCTTGTATGAGTACACACACGCACCCTGAGCACACACACATGCACACACACCCTCACGTGAGGACACACACCCTTGTGTGAGCACACACATGCACCCTGAGTGCACACACAGACCCTGGCTGCTTTGTATGCCCTCCTCTGGTCTGTGAGTTGGTTCCTGTGTTGTCTGTGCCCCTCCCTCCTTGCCCTGGTGCATGAGCTGCTGCTCACGCCTTTCTGCTTCCCCATTCCCGCTGCAGACATTTAACTCTGTCCCCATAAGCCCTGAAGGGGCTGACAGCCCTAGTGGCACATTACGGGAGTAAAGCTGCGGAGTGGGGGTGGGTGCGGGGAAGGGGAGGGGCCCTGCAGTGGGAGACCCTCTGGGCCTCCGTGGGCTGTGGGGCCAGTGGGCCGTGGGCAGGGAAGCGGGTGAGCAGGTGGGGCTGGCTAGAGGGGAGGCTTGGAGCAGGAGCCCTCGGAGACAGCCGGCGACCTGGCCCATTGGGAGCTTCCTCACTTTACTCCTCCTAATGTGCCCGGCCCCTCAGGGACGGAGAGGGCAGGAGCAGACCCTCGCAGTGCCAGAAGGCGGCTGAGGACAGGGCGCACCCCATCTGTCTGTCCTGGCACCTGCTGCCCCCCTGGTCGGCTCTGGCTGGGCCTGCAGCCTGGACCCCGGGCACCGTGGCCTGGCCCAGGAGGAGAGGGCAAGGGCTTGCTGCATCCACCCAAACTCATGCTTTGGGGTCTCTGTTCCCGGTAGAGTGGACCAGATCGTGGGGCGGGGTCCAGCGATCACGGACAAGGACCGCACCAAGGGCCCAGTGGAGGCGGAGCTGCCCGAGGACCCCAGCATGATGGGGCGGCTGGGGAAGGTGGAGAAGCAGGTGCGAGAGGCCGGGAGGGCAGGGGGCTGTGGGCCGGGGGCCCCTGTGGCAGCGCAGGCTTCAGGGGCTGGGTGCCCAAGGAGTCCCTTCACGGGAGGGCTCCTCAAGTTTAGGGGGCACATGGCCTTGTCACCACTGACAGCTGCTCTGGGCAGACCCCTCACACCTCCCCGTGAGTCCCCACTTCCAGCCTGGGGTGCCTTCCCTCCTGACAGGACCGAAGGCCCAAAGTACCCAGGAGTCCTGGGTGGGGGTTGCTGGGAGGCGGGTCCTCGAGTCTCTTTGCACCTGCCCAGCCTTCCTCCTCTCTGTCCTCCTTGCCCGCCACCCCAGCCGTCGTTCTCTTCTGGGGGTGCATTCCCAGAAGCCACCACTCAGGACGCTTGTCTCGGGGTCTGCCTCTGAGAGCTGGGCCTGAGCAGTGAGTGAGGAACTGCCAGGTCCTGCCCGGTGGGGTTATCACTGAAGGGGGTTCCCTGGTGGGCAACGGGAGGGCCTGGCTCTGAACACAGGCCCAGGTGGAGCCGGAGGCTGAGCCCCGGGGGTCTGGGAAGGAGCAGGAGCTGCTCCTAGGCCTCCTCTCCAGCTTCTCTAGCTTCCAGGAAGCAGGGGTCCCCCGCCCCCTCCTCCCGCACCTTTCCAGGGAGCAGCCGGGGTCCCCCCATCTCCTAGGAGCAGCCTGGGTTCCCCATTTCCTGGGAGCAGCCCGGGTCCCCCCACCTCCTGGGAGCAGCCTGGGTCCCCCACCTCCTAGGAGCAGCCTGGGTTTCCCATTTTCTGGGAGCAGCTTCGGTTCCCGCATCTTCTGGGACTAGCCTGGGTTCCCCTATCTCTTGGGAGCAGCCCAGGTCCCCCTGTTTCCTGAGAGCAGCCTGGGTCCCCCATTTTGTGGGAGCAGCCCGGGTCCCCCACCTCCTGGGAGCAGCCTGGGTCCCCCAATTCCTGGGAGCAGCCCGGGTTCCCCCATCTCCTGGGAACAGCCCGGTTCCCCCACCTCCTAGGAGCAGCCTGGGTCCCCGATTTCCTGGGAGCAGCTTCAGTTCCCGCATCTTCTGGGACTAGCCTGGGTTCCCCCGTTTCCTCGGACCAGCCTGGGTTCCCCTATCTCTTGGGAGCCACCCGGGTCCCCCCGTTTCCTGAGAGCAGCCCAGGTGCTCCCTCTCCTGGAACTGGCCCCGGCAGCGCAGTCCAGCCGCCCGTCTTGCAGGTCTTGTCCATGGAGAAGAAGCTGGACTTCCTGGTTAACATCTACATGCAGCGCATGGGCATCCCCCCAACGGAGACTGAGGCCTATTTCGGGGCCAAGGAGCCAGAGCCTGCCCCACCGTACCACAGCCCGGAAGACAGCAGGGAGCACGTGGACAGGCACAGCTGCATTGTCAAGATCGTGCGCTCCAGCAGCTCCACTGGCCAGAAGAACTTCTCGGCGCCCCCAGCCGCGCCCCCGGCCCAGTGTCCGCCCTCCACCTCCTGGCAGCCGCAGAGCCACCCGCGCCTGGGCCACGGCACCTCCCCAGTAGGGGACCACGGCTCCCTGGTGCGCATCCCACCGCCGCCCACCCACGAGCGGTCCCTGTCTGCCTATGGCGGGGGCAACCGTGCCAGCACGGAGTTCCTGCGTCAGGAGGATGCCCCGGGCTGCCGGCCTCCCGAGGGGGCCCTGCGGGACAGCGACACATCCATCTCCATCCCGTCCGTGGACCACGAGGAGCTGGAGCGCTCCTTCAGCGGCTTCAGCATCTCCCAGTCCAAGGAGAACCTGGACGCTCTCAACAGCTGCTACGCGGCTGTGGCGCCCTGTGCCAAAGTCAGGCCCTACATCGCAGAGGGCGAGTCAGACACCGATTCGGACCTCTGTACCCCGTGTGGGCCTCCGCCACGCTCCGCCACCGGTGAGGGCCCCTTTGGTGACGTGGGCTGGGCCGGGCCCAGGAAGTGAGGCCCCCCCAGCGCCTTGCCTCCTGAGGTTTTGAGGCGGGAACCCTCTGGGGCCCTTTTCTTATAATAACTGAGTGTGGCAGGGAAGTAGGCCCTGGAGGGCCCATGCGGGCTGAAGGACGGGGCTCCTGGCGGTGACCTTTTATAAAAGTTACTTTCCAACAGGGGCTGGAGGGCCCGGCAGGGCCCCGTGGCTCTGGAGCAGCGAGGCCGCCCTGTCCACTTGGCTTGGGGCTGCAATGGACTTCGTCGCCCGGCATGAGAAGGGCAGGAGTGATGACAGGGTGTGGCAGGCATGGCGACAGGCTGGGGGACGCCAGGGCAGGGGGTGGGCTCAGGGAGCAGAGCCTGGGGGGCAGGCCATGAGGGCAGGCCTGTTTCACGAGAGGCTGTAGGGCCTGGCAGCGTTTCTGGTCAGCTGCAGGCAGGTGTGACCAGCCCTCACACCTGACCCCCTGAGCAATCTTTCCTGTCCCCCACCTTGGGTGGGCCCAACGACGGAGCTGCTGGTCGGCGTCTTCTTCCTCCACCTTCTGGGATCTGAGGGTCTTTTGATGGGAGCCAGCCCCGAGCTGGAGGCCGTTGCCCTCAGCTGAGGAACGGGTGGGGCCTGGGAACAAACTGGAGCCCAGAGTGGACATTTCACCCTTTGGGCTCTGCCCAGCTCTGCAGGGTCTTCAGAAAGGCGGCCCTGGGGGCTCCTGTCGCCTCGCCCTGGGCTCTCCCAGGACTTGTGAGAGCCAGCAGCACCCCAGCCTTGGAGACCTGAGGGCCAGGACCCCAAGTCCTCTCCTCTCTCCTGACTGCCTGGGCTGGGTGCTGCCTGGTGAGCAGGTCTCAAGGTCCTTCACCAGGACCCCACCTTGCCTGTGCCCACCAGTGCCCCCGACAGACCTGGGCAGGGCAGGGCTATGACCCCACGGGCGGGGAAAGCCTCCACACCCACTGGACACCCACATGGCCAGCATAGGCGGCCTTCCCGGAGGAAGCCACTTCTGCCTCTGCCAGCTGAGGGCCCTCCCTGGCTCTCCTTCCCCTTGGAGCTGCCTGCCCCTTCTCCTCCAGTGACCAGTCCCTTAGCTAGGGGCCTCTTGGCATCTTGGGCCTCAGGGACGCACCATCCCATGTCCCTCCAGTTGTGGGCACTGTGGCCCTGGGGCAGCCAGCTTTGATGGGGGAGTGAGTCCAGCCACTGAGAGGCAGAGCAGGCCCTTAGCTCCAGGCTTTAGCACCCGAGCCCAGGAGCATCTGGCATTTGGGGTGATGGCATCACAGGAGGGCCTGGGCTCCCTGGGAGTGAGCAGGGCTGGAGTCGTAGCAGAAATACCACAGAGAGCAGGTGCGGAGGAGCCCTGGCACGTTCCTCCTCCACCTTTAAGTTCAGTTGGCTGGGCTGGGAGGTCCTGAAGTCAGCCAGGGACCCCGTCCTGAGGGGGAGGACTTAGAAAGCAGTATCTGAAGGTCATACGCCCCTGGCAGGCGGGGGTCCCGGCACTCAGAGTCTTTGGGAAGCCATATCTGGAGTCCATGGTGGGGGGGCTGCTGCCCTGGCCTCTGTGCCTACCCTAGCCTGGCCAGGACACTCCCAGGCCCCACTGTCTGGGTGCATCTGCCCATCCCAAAAAGGTGCCAACTGGGAGGACTCAGAAGCCACTGTCCAGGTTCCCGTGGGCTGTCCGCTCTGCTCCCAAAGGCAGCATGTATGTGGCCTCGGGCCCTGCTGGTGAGACTGTGGCTGTGTGTTTCCCCGGGTGGTGCCCTTGCCCTCTCCTACTGGCTGATTAGAGCCCTGGGTCCATGTCCCTTTGCCTTCCCGTCGTGGGACAGGGAATCCACAGCGGGGCCCACAGGCAGGGGTATGAGTGCATCCCACCCAACACAGCCCCAGCCCCAGCCACTGCTCCCCACATCTCCAGTTCCATCTCAGCTGCTCTTTCCTCCGCAGAGCCTCTGAGGCATGAGCACCTGGGCACAGGTGGGGGTTCTGCAGTAGGGGGAGGATAGGCCAGTGCCTTCCCTTCCCGCCCAGCAGGAGGGACTGGGGCTAGACTCATGTCCAGTAAGGAGCACGTGGCGCGTCCCCTGGAAAGTCTCTGGGCCCCAGGAAGATGGAGGGTGCATGCCCTGGGTTGGTTGGGGGCCCTGGGTTGGTTGGGAGACAACAGGGTAGAGGCTCTCTCTTGGGCTCACCCGGACTCTAGCCTGAGCAGTACAGCCGCCCGCTGCCCGGGCCCCACCTCAGAGAAGTGCAGCTGGAAGAAGGCTTGAGGTGGTGCGTTGCTGCCTTGGGGGTCTTTGTGACTAACTGTGGCCAAGGGCCAGTGCCACCTCATGGCAAAGAGCTCCCACGATGTTTGTTAGATTGCACATCTTCACATGCCACTGGCTCACACACACCTGCTTGCAGGTATACAAATGCATGCTTACACACATGCACACACAAACGGTATAGACCACGCATAGCACTCACATGTGCACATATACATACACATGTCTACACACATGCATACACACATGCCTACGTACAGGCATACACACATACTTACATGCACACAAACGTGTACAGACCACACAGCACTCACACGTGCACACACATGCATACACATATGGCTACACATGTGTACACACATGCATGCTTACACACATGCACACACACAAGACCCCAATAGACCACACATGCACAAAAGCATACAGGATGCACCCGTGTACACAGGCATGCATACAGGCATGCACACACGCTTACACGCACACGAGACCATGCGCAGCACACACACGTGCTCACCCATGCCTGCATACAGGCATACACACCCACGCTTACATATACATGTGCTTGCACAGATCATATAGCACACACATGCACACATTTGTACAGACCATGCACACTGCATACATGCACAGACATGCCTGCATACAGGTATACACATGCATGTTTATGCATGCTCATTCACACAGACCACACATGCACACACCCACACCTGTGCACACACAGTATACAGACCACACAGCACACACTCACACATGTATAGACCACACACACATATGCACAGATCATACAGCACCCGTGTGCACAGACCACACAGTACAAGTGCACACTCAAGTGCACAGACCACACGGCACACAAACGTGTGCACACTCCCTGCCCTTCTGTCTCTGTTCTTTCTTTTTGACCCTACTGGGTTTAAGCTGCCCAGGGAGGAGCCACAAGGAGTCACTGTGGTTTTGGAGTCCTGTGGTGGGGTGTCCGGCTGTCTGAACTCCTGGGCCACAGTGGCAGAGGTCCAGGCAGGGGCCAGTCAGGGTCTCACGCTGCCTGTCCCCCTACAGCCTGGCGGCCATCCAGAGGAGGGATTCTGCTGGATGCCAAGACGCCCTGGCGTCCATGTGGTTGTCTGGTGGGTCCTGCATTTGGTCTGCCCTGGAGGTGCTGGCCACTCCCCGTGCCCTCCTGGGATGTGTGGCCCAGCCTTGAATCCCAGGCCCCGGCCCTGGCAGGTGCTGCCGCCCCTCATGGTTCCCTGGCCCAGCTCCTCCCTCTCTTGTCTGTGTAAAATCACAGTCCGTGAATCTTCCAGTTGCCACCACGGCTGGGACATGCTGGGGGAGGCTCCTCCCACGCCTCCTGCACCCAGGTCCTAGTGTGGCAGGTGCCTGACACGCCCCACCGGAGGACACGCTGCCCCTCAGCCATGCTCCTCCCTTTTGGGGGCCTCATCTCAAGCCCCCACTTGGAGGCTGCAGTCACCTCAGGCACTGTTAGGGCTTCTCCAGGGGGCACTGTCGGAGCTGTGGGTCTCATCGCCCCGGGCCCCACCCAGAGGGGAGCCTCGGCCTTTTTAATGTTTATTCTGTGTCAAGACATCCCCACTCCCCTCAGGCTGGAGGTCTCCATGTTCGTAGGCTCCAGACCCTGTCGCTGGAGAGAAGGGGAGGAAGACCCTAGCTGGGCTTGGTCCCCCACAGTCAGGGACCCTGTAAAGGACCCCCCACTTCTCTCTGGAAAGATCTGGGCCCTGAGCTATTTCTGGTTGTTTCCCGGAAGCCAAGGAGCTAAAGGAGCTGGCAGAGCTTTGCAGAAATGCCCATATTGTCCCCACTGCCCTGAGCTGTGAATGCTGCAGAGCAGAGGCCGGGGGCGTTTGCAGGGTCACGGGCTGTCACCACCCAGCCCCAGTGGCACAAACCCTTGAACCACAGGTGGGGTGAGAGGGGCACTCAGAAGGCAGGACCTGTGTGGAGGGTGCCCAGAAGGGGGCTGAGCTCTGAGCGGTGGATGCTTAGTGTGTGGGTGTCCCCTGACCCTGTCCAGTGCCTCCCACACCCACGCAGAACTCCCAGGCCACATGGATGTATGTCCAGGGCATGAGGGTGGGGCCAAGAGGCTTGGGCAGGACACTTGGGGGCTGCAGGTCGTCCTGCAGCTGCCCAGGGGGCCTGTGTGGCTGTGCCAGGCCAGCCATTCCACATTCCCACCCGGGGCGCAGGCTCCACTTCAGCCCCAGCACAGCTCCAAGGAGCAGAAGAGACAGCTGGTGAGGGGGGCGCTTCCTGAAGGAAGTGGGATGATGGACTCCGGGGCCAAGGGAGGCCTGGAGAAGCCGTGCACACCGAGAGGCTTTCCATGACCCCAGGAGCATGGGTGGATGGTGGTCCCGGTTTGCCCAGCTCTGCTGTCTTGTAAGGGTGGGGCTGACAGCAGACCCTGGGAGAGGTAATGTCACAGGGGAGGTTGTGGGAGATGGTGGAGGAGGAGGGACTGGAAGGGGCCACTTGGGAGGGAGGGCCCTGTTCTGTTTGAAAAGGCGTTTGTGAGGCTGGGTTGAGTGCACTCTTGCCTCTGACACTTGCCGTGGTGGCTCTGGCTGGCCGAGGACACTGTCCTGAGAGGTCCTAGCGTCTGACTCTCGGCCAGGTGCCATCGAGGAGGGGCCGGTCCCCGGGGGTGCCAGGCAGGTGCATGCACTCCCCCATATGCCCCACGGCAACTCTGCCTGGCTTTTACAAAGTCGTTGCCTTAATGCATGTGGACAGGAACTCCCTGAGGTCACCCCACGCCCCCTGGCTTGGCCAGGCACAGATGCCCTGGATCCTGCCTCCAGGCTGGGTGGGCAAGGGGCCTAAGGGACGGGCTCCAGAGACAAGTGCAGGGCAGGAGGGGTCTCACACCGAGGCACCCAAAGCCAGCAGTCCTGCTGGACGCCACCCACCTGCCTGGGATCCACTCAGCCATGCGCGCCCGCCACACCCGCACCCCATTCCGCTGCGGTCGCCATCCTCTGGCCGTGACGCTGGCTGCAGCTTCCCTGTCTGCGCCATTGCCTCTGGCTCTCTGCACTTCTGTTCATGCTCCAAAGAATCTTTCATAATGCCTTCAGTACCGACGCACACTTCTGGCCATTTGTATGTGTCCTTGTGCCATAGTGAGCAGGCCTTTCTTCGGTGGATGTGTCACCCGCACACTTCAGTCTCCACTTTGTGCAGCGTCCGTTTCTAGGGATAGACGCCCAGGGAATGAACTCTAGTTTTCTAACAGATTAGCCAAGATAGTAACTTCCTCACACGGACAGGTTGACGCCAGAGCTGCAGGAATGACAGTGCAGGTTTGTGGGGGGCTTTGGGTGTGGGGTCCCGCGGCCGGGACGGCCATGGAAGGTTCTGGGGATCCCTGCTGCCACAAGGATGAGTTCGGACGCCAGGTGGACCTGTGCACTCAGTAAAACGCAGTGATTCAACCTGGACAGTGTGTAGTCTCCTCACTCACACGGGCTGTCTCTGGGCTGCCGGTCACCAGGCTGGGGACCCAGGGTTAGGGCAGGGAAGGCCCCTCCCAGACTGCACTCTGCCCTGGGGCCATGAAGGCCTGTGCTGTGCTGGTTTCCTGGGGCCACTATGGAATATCTCAAATCTCGGCCTCCAAACACCAGAAATTCATTATCTCGCAGTGGGGAGGCTGGAGCGCCTCCTCCCTCAAGCCTGCCCTGTGCTGGGCCTGGGTCTGCGGAGGTCCCGTCTGTGGTGCTGGCCCCCAGCGGGAGTGCCACTGCATCTCGGCCATCAGGGGTAGCAGGGACCAGGGGGCTACTCAGCTCTTAGTGGGAAAGGAGCACCCTCCCCCGTCTGCACCACCCACCCCAGTGCCAGGGGCTCTTTGTGACACATGCCACACTCCTTCCACAGCCTGGCTCCACATATGCCACCAAGGATCCGCCACGGCGTGCCCACATGGTGCTCCCATGCCACCTGCCCTCGGCCACACTGTCACACCGACAGGAGGGGACTCGGGGCGCTTGGGGTGTCCCTGGCCCCTGGTGGCTGCAGGGACTGCGTGTGATTCTGCACTGCTGGACCCAGAGCCTGCAGGGGGACTGGAGCCACAGCAGAGCTGGGTCCTGACTTGGCCATCTGTGTCCCCGCAGATCCCTGCTCAGGCAGAGTCACATCCTGCTGTCACCTGGCTCCCGCAGTGGGAGGGAGGTGAGGGAGGCCCCCACCCCCAGGTCTTTGGCAGGCATTTCTGTTCACCTGTCCCTCTCTGGAGCAGCAGTCAGGACCTGTTGAATTCTGCGATTCCTGTGCAGGGACTGGCTCAGGCTCCTGAGCCTGGGCTCCTGCTGGACTCTGCCTTTGGGAGGTCTTGGGGCACGTGCCTGTTTGGTGAATGAATGAGTGAGTGAGTGAGAGGATGAATGAAGGGCAGGGTCCGTCTCTGGAGGGGGGCATGGGGTCCTTCCCTAGAGGGGAGCATGGAGTCCATCCCTCTTGAGGCTCTGCAGGCCCAGCTCCTGGTGGGACTCTGCACTCACTCTCTGGCTGCCCCTGGACAGGGAACTCTTGAACACCCCTGGAGACCCCTTGGCAGGTGGCCCTCCCACCCTGCTTCCCACCTGGCTTCCCCCCACCACAGTGACCATGGCTCCTCTAGCCCTCCCCAGACCCTCACATGTGTCCCCATCCCTGAGTCCCCTTCAGACCGGAGCACTCAGGGGCTCTGACAAATGCGCCCCCTTTGTGAGAGAACCCTCAGGTGGAGGAGGCACCCAGTGGTGCCCACAGAACTCGGCGTCACAGCAGGAGAAGGCAGTGTGGGTGTGCAGACCCCTGCACCCAGCGCGGGGCATGAATCACCCTCCAGGGTGCTCGTGACCAAGCCAGTAGATGGGGTGTCAGGCTGAGGGCCTCAGCAAGCCAGTGGCGGGGGGTGGACAGGAGAGCTTGTCCAGAGGCTGGATGTGGGCAGAGGAAGATCTGGGCAGGGAGCGGGGTGGGGACAAGGAGATAAGACAAGCAGACGGGGGAGGAGCCAAGCCAGCAGAGAGGAGGCACCCAGCTGGACACTTGCTGGCCGGCATCTGCCCGGGTGTGCTGAGGGAGGGGACTGCAGGAGTCCCAGGAGAGGCCAGGCCCAGCAGATCCAGCATCTTTCTGGGTGTCTGCAGGCCTCAGGGGAAGGCAGGGAGAGCCTGGGGCCCCCAAGAGAACCCAGGGGCCACATGGGGTCCACAGAGGCCCCTCCTCTGGCCAGAGCCCCAGGACCTGACTGCCCCTGTCCCTCATCCACAGTGGTCCCCGGCCCCACCATTCCACAACACCCCAGCTTGTTCATGCCCTGAGGAGAGAGTCACTGGGCATCACCAGTCCCCACACCTGGTCCATAGCATCATGCCCAAACCAGCCACAGGTGCCTGCCCCCAGGCTCCAGCCACTGAACCGCAGCAGGAATGTGTGATACCTCCAGCCACTGAGCCACAGCGGGAATGTGTGATATTTCCAGCCACCGAGCCACAGCAGGAATGCGTGATACTTCCAGTCACTGAGCCACAGCGGGACTATGTAATACTTCCAGCCACTGAACCACAGCAGGAATGTGTGATACTTCCAGCCACTGAACCACCAGCAGGAATGTGTGATATCTCCAGCCAATGAGCCACAGTGGGAATACATGATACTTCCAGCCACTGAACCCTGTGCTTTCCCTTGTGACAATGCTATGTCTTATGCTGTGTATTTTAGTTTCAACAAAAAACAGGGGCAGAGCCTAGCTCAGCCCTCTTCCTCCTGGGCTGGGTCTCTGTCAGCAGAGGGGACCTCAGTGAGCACCTGGCAGTTTCCATGGGGCCCAGAACTGGGATTAGCAGCTACGAGAACATGGTCAGTTTTGAGTAGACTGAGGTCTGGGGCTCTGGGCCAAGACTCAGGGCAGTGGGTCTGAGCAGCAACAGGCTGGGGCGGGGACTCCAGCTTCCCTCATCCTCCATGGCCCGGGGTCTTGGCCTTACCTCCTGGCATCTCCCAGGCGGCCTCATCTGTGTCCAGTGTGGACACATGGGCACAGCCCTGCTCCAACTGCCCTGCCGGTCAGCTCACACTCAGGCACAGCCCCACTCCAGCCCCCACCCCGTCAGCTCACACATGGGCACAGCCCTGCTCCAGCCCCCCTCCTGGTCAGCTCACACATGGGCACAGCCCCACTTCAGCCCCCTCCGGGTCAGCTCACACATGGGCACAGCCCCTGCTCCAACCCCCCTCCCGGTCAGCTCACACATGGGCACAGCCCCACTCCAGCTCCCACCCTATCAGCTCACACATGGGCACAGCCCCGCTCCAGCCCCCTCCGGGTCAGCTCACACATGGGCACAGCCCTGCTCCAGCCTCCCTCCTGGTCAGCTCACACATGGGCACAGCCCCGCTCCAGCCCCCACCCCATCAGCTCACACATGGGCACAGCCCTGCTCCAGCCCCCTCTGGGTCAGCTCACACATGGGCACAGCCCTGCTCCAGCCCTCCTCCCGGTCAGCTCCTGCTCCTCACTCCCTGCCCCTCCCATCACCTTCCACACCCGGGAGGTGACTCCACACAACCCCCAACTTGGTCCACACACTCCTCACCCCTTCCCCGGCTCTGCGGTAGTACAACTGCACTGTAGGAATGACCCACAGCACCAGCCTTTTGGCTTGAAGAACTGGAAACTGAGGCCCAAAAAGTGGAACAAAGTGGTCCAGGGAAATGGCCAGTCTGTGGGCAGAACCCGGAGCCTGGCCGCCGTGGATCCCCACTCCTGGCAGGACTCAGAACCACCAGGTCACTGGCGGTCTCTGAGGGGCAGGCAGCAGACACCTCTCACCTTCTAGCACCCACCCACCCCAACCACCAACCCCAGATGTCTGAGCCACTGACACTCAGGAACGGTCAAAGTCAGAGCGGGGATTCACTGAGGAGCCCCAAGTCACTCCTCAAGGAGTAAGGGAGCCCCTACGGGGTGAGGGAGCCCCCATGGGGTGACGGAGCCTCCAAGCCACACAGCAGACGTAAGCACATGGATCTTCTCAAACCAACCCACAAGCTGCCGGCTTAAGGATTTCAACTGAAAGTTTCTTCTGTGTGTACAGAGCTGGCCTTCCGCACTTGCTCCTGTGAGCTTGTCTGTCTGCCTGGCCCGGCCACACCTCATCCTGCACCTCCTCCTGCAGCCCCGGCCACCTCCTCCCTCATGGCCGTGGAACCCTGACTGCGATGCTCCCTGCCCTGAAGTCTGCCAGCTCTCCAGTGGCACCAGGACCCTCCAAGGGTGGCCCTCTATGCCATCCCCACACCTGCCTTCCCTCCTCTCTCCTCTCTTCTAGAACTCTCCTGGCCCTCCCCAGTCCACCTCCAGCCCTGCCTCCTCCTTGGAGCCCCAGAACTGCCCTAAACCAGCATCCCACCCTCTGCCTAGAGCTGTGTCCCACAGGTGGTGTTGATGCGGCTTCCATCTGCCATCTCCTCTGCCCCGCCCGGCTGGAGTGATGGTGATGCTGGGAATGTCCCAGCGTGTGAGCCTGGCTGAGTCCTTGGGAGTCCCACCCACTTGCAGCCATATCTGCTTTAATAAAATGCAGAACCCTTCATTTCTTTTTCAGTGTAAAAGCAAACTGGTTCAGCTGGAGAGATCATCTCAGGAGACAAGGACAGAGCCAGGCGTCCCCTCTGGCCTGGAGTGACCCTGGGTGGGGACCCCTGGGTCTGCTGTCATCGGCCAGCAGTAAGAGGGGGAGCTGCGCCAGCCTCTCGCAGGGGCAGGAGCACCTATGGGGTACCTGTTGCATGCAGGGGAGGGCAGGGAAGGAGATGGTGAGGCCACGCCTGCCAGAGGAGGGCTGAGGGGCGGCTTCGAGGGTGGGGGACACTAAGCGCCCAGTGTCTCTGCGCTGCCATCCCGATAGCCTGGATGCCCTCTCTGCCACTCCTTCCTCAGATGTCACCTTGTGCCTCTCTGCACATCGGGTGCTCCCTGCAGCGGTCGCTTGGCCTCGGTTTGCCCTGCGCTGTCTGCCGGCCTCATGTGGCCTCATCTTCACACCCATCGTGGTCATGTCTTGGGAGCTTGTCACCCATGCCCCTCTTAGGGTGGAGCCCCCACCTGGACTCAGGCCCCTCTCATATCACACCAGACAGCAGTCCCAGACCCTCCCACTGTTCACACAGGAGCTCTCGTAAGGCAGCAGGTGGTGTCGGGGAACAGACCCACCAGCACCTCAGCCTTTTCCTGGCCTGATGTGAATTCAGCACTGCATCCTCGGGCCTGGCTCAGATGCCGGAGGACCCGCCTTCCACTCTGCATCCTGGTCTGTCATCAGCAGCCCTGGCCTCCAGTGGAGGCCGTCTGGGCACACTGGCTCCTGCAGGTCTCAGAAGCCATGCAGACAGGAGTCCCTGGACCAGGCAGTGCCTTGCTGGGGCTCCTTTCCTCAGTGGTGAGTCC